CAGAGCTCTAAATGCTGCTGGGTTGCCAGAGACCTGAATCCTTTGCAATTTTATCAAAAGTACAGCTGAAATTTTTGGTATTTATTATCCCGAGAAATGTAGTTTTTTTTTCTGATCTGATTATGATGTATGTTGAACTTATTTCGCACTGTGCGGAGCCAACCGTGTTAATCGGAAGTGCGGGGGAAGGATAAAAAAACTAAACACAAAAACAAACGCTGAACGCACACTCGGCAGTGTCCATGACAGTGTTATTCTGATAATGTTTTGCTTTTCTGCACTGACTCACTTGATGCAGCAAATCTGGCTGTGACGGTCCCACCTGATGACGGAGACTTGTGTTGCCTCCGAAACGTCGTGAATTTTATTTTTATTTTTTATTTTATTTTACTTTTATTAATTTTAATGTTTTACCTATGTGACTTTACCGAAAAAAACCTAAGAATATGAATTCTTGCAGTCACGAAAGCTTCAAATCTAGAATTTGTACGACCCATCCAGCAGTGGATCGACAAAAAAGAGCTGGACACCTACATGCACTTTGTTCCCGTGATTCGTTGCCAACGTTGTGCCAAAGTTGGCATGTTTACTGGGATGCCTTTCTGTTATTCTCATTCCTATCGCTTCACTTCCACGACCCATCTCGCAAATCAATGGGCTCTCACCCTGGTTACAAATATAGTTCACGTGTAAGTAACCCTAAACGCAAGACAAGGATATTCAGACATGAGTCACGGGTCAATAATACTCAGCGGAGTCAGTGGGGCAGTGGGTGACATCTGACGACATGGCGCGTGACGTCACTGACACGTGCTGCTGACATGGGCCTCATCCGATGTGCGCGTGACCCTAACGTCAACCACGTGTACAAGGGTTACAATTCATAAACTGCTTAGGCGTGTGGTCCCGTCGCTCCCCATAGAAAGTCTGTGGCTATTTAAAGTATGTTTTAAAAATTACACCAACAAAAAAGGCACGTTCGACAATAACACCCCAGTAAACATGCAACGTTGGTCCAGCTTATTGTATTTACTGGGACTGCCCTGAAATAAGCAAAGGCAACGTTAAGGGTAAAGTAAGAAGGTCCGTTGTCTGAAACGTCGCCTATTGTACTTATTTTTTAGGCAACGTGTTGAGTATTTTTGCGTGTTGTGCATGGCCCCCCACTGCCAACGCAGCATCACTTAAATATAATTGCTTGAAAATATGCACTTTAAAACATATTGTCACGTGTCTTATTACCCAATACTAACGTCTCACTTTTAAAGAATGCCGCCACATTTTGAAACTTACTCCGCTGTGTTACTTACACAGCTTAAAATGAGACAAATCGTAAACAGCACGATGTTATTCATCTGTTTCTTTGCAATTAATAATATCTGTAGCCTATGTACTGTATTTCTCAACCGGCCATGTGGCTCAGCCTGGTAGATCGAGCCGCTCGCAATGGGAAGGGCATGAGTTAAATCCCTGGTTGAGTGGGGGATAGTCTCCACCCATCAGCCCGTTTTGGTCGATAATATTAATACCACTTTGTGGGAAAATCAACAGCGATTTGTTGTTAATTTTCCTACATACACACATATACTGTGTGTATATACTCATCCCCCATCATAGTAATTTGGAATTTCCACTACTGCCTCAGGGCTGCAAGTAGGAGATGAGCACTGCCTCTGCTCATTTGAGATATAAATACGGTACATTTGTATTTATCCTATATTTACCTTTGACATGCGGAATTATATCTCAAAATGATTTTACCAGTGTTGTGTAAACTCCCTCTTGCATTCCCAGAACCTAGCTTCCCCCGTGACTGTAAATGATCGAGTGTGAACAATCTGCCACCCATTGCTCTGAAAAGGATGAGAAAATCATGAATGACAACTTTGCCTGCTCCTATTTCCTATCTCCCCACCACCTGACTTCTGAAAAATCCCTTCACGATTGTGTTCCACAAGGCTCCATCCTCAACCCCCTGATCTTCTCTGCACAGTATATATAATCCTTCCTGGTAACATAATTTCCATTTTTATTGCCATGTATCATTCCTATGCCGACGACACCCAACTCTACTTTTACATTTATTCCATGTACTCAACCGCCCTGTTCACTCTCGCATCCTGCCACTGACACGGTAAACTAAAGCAGAAGTTTCAGTTTCAGTTGCATTTATTTGGTATAGCCCTCTGAGCCATTCGGCTCTTGAATCGGGTACAACCGCAACAAACAAAAAACAAAAACATGAACAATAAAACATCTTAAAGTGACTATGCGCAAACAGAAAAATCCAGGAAAAAACAGAAAAAATCTTCCAGAAAAAAGCACTGTACAACATCGCTGTGTGCAAAAATCCCAATGGGATGCAAATCAAACAACAACAACAACAACCACAAGACAACTTAGATTAAAGCCATCAGTCCAACTCCGTACTACAACAAACAAAACATGGCCAAACCAAAAAAACTTTTTGAAATCACCAAAATAAAGCCATACAAGCAATGTAACAGTGATCATAGGAAGTATCGCTCATCAGCAAAACGTCCCCACACCCTGTAAGAACTCCAGTTTGAGTACCTACTAAACTCTGACATTGCACTGGCAAACGGTGTACACAATCGCGGAGGTGATTTGATCCGGAGCTTTCAATCTCTTCCCACATCGCGCATCTGCAGGACCTCCTATCTCCACCTGTGCAGCATCCCCCACATCTGCAATGTATTCACTCATGCTGCTGCTGAAACCCTCTTTTCAATACGATCCATATACTGGTTCTGGTCTACATCACTCGTCTCATCTCACTATACTCAGCTACAAAAAACACATTCCTGCGGAGGGAGCTGGTAGGAACGTTGGGTTGCTCGGTCAATTGCCAGGGTCAACAGCGGCGTGGTGTATTCCGCAAATATGCCCGACTGTGAGGGCGGGCACGAGCCGGCGTGAGTAGGTTAAACGTTGAGTTTTATAAAGGCACCACGGGGTGACCAGCCCCTCCCCACCCAGCCCCACCCCTCCCACCCCCCACCCAGCCCCACCCTCCCCACCCAGCCCCTCCCCACACTCCCCACCTAGCCTCTCCCCACCCTCCCCACCCAGCCCCTCCCCACACTCCCCTCTCCACCCAGCCCCACCCCTCCCATTTTTGGATGCACGACGGCCGGACACAATCATCCCTGTGGGCTGGTGGAACCAGGTGGTTCCTACCAGTAAACCTCCTACCTCTCTTACTCTCCTTCCCGACACGCATTCCCTGCTCCTGCTATCAAGGCTTGCTATCGAAGCCCTCAGTCAATGTTCGTTCAGTGGTATAATTAACTTATCATCTACTCCCCTGAATTTCTGGAACTCTTCCTAGCTATGTGAAATCGACGCCATGCCCCGTTCGAAGTCGTCTCAAGACCTTTCTTGTCTTTCCTCCGCCTATGACTGCCTTTCTCTCGGCAAATTATAAAATAACCCACTGTTTCTGTACAGCACATTAGTTAATGTAGACCGATGCTTGGAATTACATTGAGACTGTAAGAGATAGATTGGATTTAGAGAACGTACACAGGAAGAAGTGGGTTTGGGTACGACACGTCGCGGGAAGAGATACCGGCCCATGGTTAATATTAAGAATCAGAATATGTATTTATACTGGAAGAATCCGATGAGCAATAAAGCTATTTTAATAGATATCCAGTAGAGTAGTGAACAAACGGAGGTTCATTCTAGATTTGAAGCTTTCGTGACTGCAAGGATTCGTATTCTTAGGTTTTTTCGGTAAAGTCACGTAGGTAAAACATTAAAATTAATAAAAGTAAAATAAAATAAAAATCACGACGTTTCGGAGATAGATAGATAGATCGTTTATTGTCATTGTCATCAGTACAACGAAATTTAAAATGCTCACCAGTCAGGGCATCATTCATAAATTTAAATTAAATAAAACAAGAAAATAAAAATTAAATTAAATGAAAGATAATCAATTTATACTATATATAAAAACAGCCCAAGTATACCCACATACCCACATAAGGTTACATTTTGTCATTGCACATCTCTATTTCACAATCAATTGTAAACACTATTACTTAATAATTAATTAGCATTATTGAGTGTGGTGATCGCTGTAGGATAAAAGCTCTGTTTGAATCTGTTTGTCCTTGTTTTGAGGCAACACAAGCTTCCGTCTTCAGGTGGAACCGTCACAGCCACGACAGCTGTATCAAGCTGTGACGGTTCCACCTGAAGACGGAAGCTTGTGTTGCCTCCGAAACGTCGTGATTTTTATTTTATTTTTATTAATTTTAATGTTTTACCTACACGGTGACTTTACCGAAAAAACCTAAGAATATGAAACGGAGGTTCAGCCAATAAAGAGAAGGAACGTGTCTGAGGACTTCCACCGCCGGATGAGATGGAGAAAGTTGGCAGCTTGATTGCTGCATCGGATTTGTGAGGCCTCCATCGAGCAGTGGATAGACCAAGGCTGCTGATGACGCATCAACGTTGCATTTGCGTTGCGCAATCGGTCCCCCCCCATCCCCCCACGCGGCGTGCCCGACCTCGTGCGCCCGGTGACGAACGGCGGCAGCTGGCAGTGACGTCACAGAGGGGGTGGGAGGCTAGAACAATGACGTCACGCCCCGTGACCAACAGCCGCAGCTGGGAGAGCGACGTCACGACCCGCCTGGGGGTAAGGGGGGCGGGGTGAATGACGTCACGCCCCGGGGGCCACCCTCCAACCCGCGCGTGACTACCCCCCCTCTCCCCACGCGCCCTCCACGTGACCTCGCACCCACCAATGGCAACGCGGCCACGCGAATAAACACGCAGCAACATCGGTGTTTTGCTTATACGGACTACGATATCCCAACCGCCCGACCTATCCGATGTACGTAATCCAATCGTTCTTGGGGGGGGGTGGGGTTTGCGTTACCTATACGGGCTATGGAATTCAAACGGTGGGCGGGGCTACCTTGGGCACCGCCCCCTCCCGTTGCTTGTCCGCGATGGGGAATTCAAACGCGGCGTCACTCACTCGACTGTCATGGCCTCCGCGAGCAGGGTGGACAAGGTGGGAGCCGCGCCTCGTGTACCAGCTACGACTGCTGCTGCTGTTGTTGTTGTCGTCGTTGTTGTTGTCATTCCTCGGTGTCTTTGTTAATGAACACGTCTGTGGCGATTGGTATATCGAGTGTTGACGGGCCGCGCTTGTTTGCTTGTGTGTTGGAATGTGATGGAGTGTGTGGGTGACAAACATCGCCACTTGGGGAGACAAAGGCGGCCGGGCGTGGTTGTTGCCCCCCCCCACCCCCTCGTAGGTGCTCGCGAACAGCACCTGCCCCCCCAAACAGTCTGTTAGAGGCGACACTGAGATTGGGGGGCGGTGATCTTTGTGTAAGAGGTCACTGCCCATGTTTACATCCGTATCGATGAGTACGCGGGGCCTAGCTCGGCTCGTTGTTATTCATGTTAAACATAACGATGGTAATCTTCACTTTGAGGCTTTAGTGACGGCAGGAATCTATTCTCTCTTTGGTTCATTCGGTAAAGTCACGTAGGTCACGTAGGTGACTTTATCGGCGACTTTACCGAAAGGATCAAAGAGTACATAGAGATAAAGTACAGCAATATGTATGGTACACTTCCCTCTGCTGCCCACAGTATAGACTCCACAGACTTTAATATTAAAATAGAAATAATTATTCAATTTTAATATCCCTATCTTCTATAATTTAAGATAATTATAACTTTTAATAATCTATATCGCATTGTAAAGCACGGTTGCAGTTGATACACATTTCACAATATTAAATCAAACAAATGTATTGAATAAAAAATTCATGTATTTAATTTTAAATGGATCTTATTTGCTATTAAATTTGCGTTATTTCATATCAGGATACAACCAACCTGCTGAGAGAGATACGTCCTTAAATGTTATTGCTGCACAACTGTCATATCAAACACATTTAAGCGCCTGTTATTATATACGTTTCCTATTAAGGTAGAATATTAATAGATCACGACGTTTCGATCGCAACACACGCAACCGTCATCAGGTGAGACAAACACGGCAGGAGATCGATACTATTCAAGTTATCTGTCGGTGACCCTTGTAACAGTGTTTTAACGCGATCACAGAATTAACCGATTAGGCCATTCGTGTGCCAAGCTTGTTGTGTTGTTGATCGTGTTCATCGTCAACAACGGACAAGTTCCATTGCTTGATTACGTCGCTCCATCTCCCCGGCTGGACGTCCTCTCGGACGCGTTCCATTCTGTAGCTACTACTCCCGTCACCGGCCATCATCATCATCACCGTCGTCATCCATATAGCCTTGTTGTTATAGATAACATCGCTAACAATTACTGTGCAGCAGTGCCAGGCTTGTAACAGTCTTACACGTTTTGGATCGCAGCACATTGGCTAACGTTAATGATTTGAAGCTTTCGTGACTGCAAGGATTCATACTCTTAGGTTTTTTCGGTAAAGTCACGTAGGTAAAAAAATAAAATTAAAATTAATAAAAGTAATAATAGAAATAAAATAATAAATCACGACGTTTCGGAGGCAACACAAGTCTCCGTCATCAGGTGGGACCGTCACGGCTAGATTTACCTTGAGACCGTAAATCTTGAGACAGTAAATCTGGCTGTGACGGTCCCACCTGATGCCTCCGAAACGTCGTGATTTTTTAAAATTTCTATTATTACTTTTATTAATTTTATTTTTTTACCTACGTGACTTTGCCGAAAAACACCTAAGAGTATAACGTTAAAGAGATGAGAAACATCGACTGCGCCAATTGTGTGGATGTAACGGGGCCTCTGGGGTACGGATGAATGAAATTGCGTCGATTGATCGGTTTCCTGGTAGTACGGTGCGGTGGTATTGCATTTTACGTGACAATATTCATTTTCGTGGCAATATACATCGACGTCAATCGGATTTGCTCCATTCACGATTGATCGATATCACTCGATTAATTAATACGTTTATTGATTGTTTGTTTTATCATGGTACTGTATGTTAATCTGGCTCAAATTTTCAGTCCATTATCGATTTAACTCTGGCTTGGTCAATTCATCAGGTCCTATAATTGATCGATTATTCAAGCTGCTTGCGTCGGTTAATACGGTTTTGCCGATTGTTCGTAATTATAGCTGATGCAATGCATTATCGATTCCATTTTAAGCATTTTAGATCAATCAATCACCTCGTCACCCACTTGGCAAGATGATAGCTCAACTGGCCCGACTTGGGAATCAAAGCCTGCGGCTGATTTTTTTTGCAAATCTGTTGTACAGTACACAGTATAGATGCACTGTACATATACGTTATAGTTTAATTTCGTCTAATGGTAAGTTTATTTTGAAATCGTTGTTAGAACACTTGATAGTTGGACCGTCGCGAGATCCATTCTCAGTCCACTCGGCCTTATCATCCCTTTGTGGCCGTTACAATTAAGTACTGTTTTGTTGAAAGTCAACAGTAGACTTATGGTGAGCACAGGCTTTGGCATGGAAATGCAGAATTTCCACCACTGGACTTGATGCACCATTGGAGATGAGTGTTGCCTCATTGCTCTTTATAGCAGGGGGACCCTTTGACTTGTGCAGGGTTTCATTAATAATTCTGTACACATTTACACCACAGATTTAATCCAATGTGCGTGCATTAAGTTGCACATTTGTAAACAGTCAAAACGTTGAGCCCATCTTGTGTTGATTTGGCAAATTCCAAAGATGTTACCCAATGTCTGCCACGTGCACTAATAGCACTAGTTTATGGCTTGGCTAGCTTGGCGTGTTTACATCAAAAAGTGATGAGTCTAACCTTTCCACATGCCACTTTTGGATTGTACTTTGTTGGATTGTAGGTTTCACGCCTTTTAAACACCATTTTCTCCACTGAAGAAAGCAAAGGCTCGTGCCACTGCTAGCAGAGCTGCCTCCAGTAGAGGGAAGTCGAAATGGTATCTCGAGAGTGTTAATTGGCATGCTCTCTTACATTGTCAAGGCGTCTTGAAAGAGACGGGAGTACCCACCAGACGCGACCTGTCGATCGACTAACTGTGGCAGACCTATTTATATGCTGTTGGTTGGACAGACGCCCGGGGGGATTTGAGAAACTTCTCTGTTATTACACATGTCACGCTGGGAGATCAAAACGGCTATCTAAGAATCGCCAGTCCCAATGTACTAACTAATAATGCTAGTAAGTAATATTCATTGTAAAGAGTTACTCATCAATGTCCACGATTTGAATATCACAGTCTGATGTGGTTTATTGTTAATCTCCCTTTTTGTATCCAGTAAAATATGACGTTGTATAATTTACATGATAAATATTTAACCCGTGTCATACCACAGGAAGGGGCTTCAATGATGTAATTTATGGGAAAAGAAAAAGGAACGGGAAAGGGGCACGGCTCAAGATGAGTAGCAGGAACAAATAAGTGCCAGGCAGGGAGGGGAAGGTGGGGGGAGAAGGAATGACTGGGCCAAAAAGTTGTGGATGAGAGGGTGATAGCAGGTGAGGGAAAGAGTGAGAGAGAATGTGAAAGAGCAATCACCAGTGAGCTGCATGGAGTGTGTGTTTTCAAAGGGGGTAGGGAAAAAGGAGGGATTCAGAGTGGGGTTGGCCATACCTTAAAAAAATCACGTGGTTTATGGAAGTTTTGAGCTGATTTAGATAGCTAGGTACATACCTGTTTCTTTTAATGACATTCCTTAATTATTCATGCACATACCTGGAGGTCGGCACTTTGGAGGTGCAGATGGTGGTGGACTGAACAGATTCTATTCCAATAATTGCAATACAGCAAATAGAATTCTTACGATGGATATTTTGTGCATTCTCTCCTTTGACCTAGTTTTGTTTTCACAACTCCAGCTGTTTTCCAAATTCCAACTTACCAAGAATTTAGCTAAGCTTATCAATTCATGGCACTCATGAAAAGGTCTTGAGACTCAGTGAGGCGTTACTGATTAAATATAGGATTATTTTAGTACCCTTAAAATAAGCTACGTGTTATTCGTGACCATGAGTGCAATAACATATGCTTTGCTTCTCTTTGCTGTGCTGTTGCTGAAACAGTCTTTTCTGAGGTAATGTTTTGGCTTTGTTAACAGTCACATGAACTGATTTTGAAACCGCTTTCTCGTATGGTCTTAGTAAGTGGGGAAAAGCAGGAAAGTGGTTTGACACTGGGAGCTAATTTCGAAGCTATTGGAAGCTGTGGACATTTCTCAACAAAAGCTGTAGGAAATTTTAGTAGATTAACCACTGAGCTTTCTAGATAAGCGTTTTCCAGCAACATTTTAGCAAAGCGTCTCTTGAGTCTCATGAGCTCATGTGGCCCATTAAACTATTACTTGTGGGTTGCCTAGGATTTTAAGCCAGTCCTCCACAAACACTGGAAATAATCTATTTCAGATGGGGGGGGGGGGGGTATCGTATAAGTAGTTTGCCTGATATTATGCGTGTATGTTATTGCTGCCTGTGCCATTCCAAATGCATAAAACAATGAAAAAAACTTGCCATAGTTACCTGTTCATTTCATATTTTGAAGCATTCCTTGAATTGTTGACATTTTCCATGTTTTTCAAGTGGACCTCTGGCAGCACTGCTATGCATTCTTTACTTTTTCCTTTTAAGGCAGTAAGTGTTATTGATGAATGTGTTGACTTTTTTGTCATTTCATTTATGGGTTAGGTGAAGCAGTCACACCCGGCTTCTTGCCACAGGGCCTTTAGCGGTTTTATAATGTTTTCCTGGCACTATAAGGTAATTTTCACAGTACTTGCTGATTTATGAACATCAATGTACATACTGACTATTGTGTGAGTACGAGGACACCCAGGATTTTTTATCATCACTTATACAAGTTGATGTATCTGTGTAGAGGCTTTATGAATGTATATGCCATGACTTCCACTCTTGGTGGATCATTGGAGTGGTTTAATAAGTGGCAATATGCTTGAGGTTCACGCTGTTGTAATAAAATGGCCTTCTTTCAAAACACTTCCCATGCATTTGGTGTATTTTGTAAAACATACAAAATTAAACGTGTAATATTGGTCACTGTTCATGATTAATTAGACTATTGCTCCGTTTCAAATTGTCTCAGCTGGTGTATGCCATTGATTTGTTAACTTGTTTATGGCACAATAGATTTGTGCAAACAATAAATTAATAATGTATGACACTTGCCTCTACCATGAAAATGTGCAATTACCACTAGAGACTCACCTGAGGTTTGCCTATAGAGACGAGTGCTATCTTAATAGTCACATGTGCAGGGAGACATTGCCACTATTGCCATGAGCAGAATTGATTAATAATTTCATCACAATTCAGTATTTAGAACGAGAAAACCTACGTATTTAAGCTTGGTAAAATGTCAATACATAACTTAATGATTATTATTAATTAATTGAGTTGTGTTAGGTCTTAAGTACGAATAATGCAAGCTGTATGTTTTCCAATTTTATATATAAAACACTAATATAATTATTATATCGCTGAAAAAATATTTCTAGATTACGTGGGTGTACCAGTCTGGAATGGAATGACTCATTTTTCATTGTCTTCTGATTGAGTGGAGAACACTGCCAATTTAGGACAAACTGTTATTGCGTAGATTGTTGTGGCAATGTATTTTAATTTAAGAATACCATTTGATTATCCTGGCTGCCACTGGATACCCACCTTCCAGTTGGAAGATTTTGAATTAAAATCCCCATTGGAGCTCACTTCATCCTATCATCTCTTGGGGGTTTATAAAATACATATCACTTGATGCCAAGTATTCACTCCACATTTCTGTGAACAGAGAAACAGTGACCAAGGCTGGCACAGCACATTAGGCCAAGTGATAATAGTGGAAAAGGGGTTTGCCGAGGACAGGTTCAGATATCAATTGCCAATATAATACTCCCTGACCCTGTGTATGTATGTATGTTGAACTTATTTGCACCGTACGTAGCCACACGTGCTAATCGGAGTGTTCTGGCATGTTGATAGGTGGTGTATGAGAAGGACGGTGTGTTCGTCCACACCTGCACCAAAAAGAACAATGACCAGGATTCGCTCATCCCTGGCATCCTTCGGCTCATTGAGAAGCCCAGCAACAGCCAGGGGCGTCCCGGGGCGCCTGGTTTCCAGGTACTATTGACCCCCGAGGGCCGTCAAGGGATGGTTTTTGTGATCGTACATCTACTTGCTGCTACCTGTTTTACCCCTCTTATCTCGCTGCACTATCTTACTCATACCTCCCTTAGTTAAGCAGACCAAAAGCCTGCTTGTTGAATCCCTCGGTCAACCTGTGGTGAATGGAAGGGTGTTCTTTTCCGATGCTAACCTCTATCTGGTACTATCTCCCCCTGCTCATCCACACTCACTGTTGGCAATTTTCCTTGTTTAAGTCACAGCTCCAATTCTTCTCCTTCTCTTCCACCTGTGACTGATCAAATCTTCCTCTTTTCTTCTGCCTGTGACTGATTGCATATTTCAATCATACCACTCCCTCAGCCATTTCCATCTCATACAATCACTTCCCCTGCCCAATGCGTGTTCCTCATGTATTGTATAATGGCAACCAGATAATAAAAAGAAATGAAAATGAATTGCAAATACACTGCATAATTACCACCTACGATGTATTCAAATTATTTTCATTACTCTGCAGTGAATAACATCGTAACATATAAGTTGCTATGTCTGAGCCTAGTGAGTCTAAAGCACTTCTATAGTATTAAAATTAGTTTTATTTTACATGGTTAAAACATTTCGATTTAAAGCTTTCGTGACTGCAGGGATTCATCTTCTTGGTTCTTTCGGTAAAGTCACGTAGAATGGAAATAATAAAATAATAAAAATAGGTCATTCAGACTCTGTATTCTCGACAGACCTGTTCTTCACCTGAGGACGGCTGCTCGCGTTGTGGCCGAAAGGTCGTGAGAATTGTATTTTATTATGTTTTATTTTTATTATTTTATTATTTCCATTTTACGTGACTTTACCGAAAGAACCAAGAAGATGGTTCAAACATCTCACCTTTTCATGGTGTGGTAATTTTCTTCATAAGTGGACAATCCAGGTATCCCTGAGTGCGGTGAAGTGCAAGCCACTTGGGCAATGCTCACCAACGCAAACTTTTGCAGGGAGTACAAATTGAATCTATCTGGCGACCCCCAGATGCCATCGAGAGGCTTTGCAAACTCAATACGTGGTAGTCAACGTGTCCATTGCGTTTCGCATGCCCTACAGAAGAAGATTCTCGTAGAGACACATGAGGTGTTAGGACAAACCAGTGAATATAATCGGGCTGTGGACTTTCCAATGGGCATTCTGGTTATAGCGAGACTGCATTTTTCTGTATGTTGCCGTGTTACAGACAAGCCGGCGTGCACGCATGTATATTATCTGCATTTTAGTTGTTGTCTTATATAATTGCTCATACTGTTAATAACTAATTTTCTGTGTTAGTCGTTAATATTCTTAAAAAACTTTCTTGCAGACCTTCCTACCCATCGTTTTAGTCAGTATTTTCCATTGTGTGTCCCTACTGTTGTAAAGCATATTGATATGTTGTTGCATGTAGATTGCATGGAAATTAAATCGTATTATAGTTTTATTTATTTTGTTGTTTCTGATCATTTTGAGTCTACATTTCATACCAATGGCTGTGGGTCATCAGTCGAAGGGAATAGTATTTAGTTTTCTTCAACGTAATTCACTACTTGCCACTCCGACGTCGTGATTACCCACTACTCTCCTGCTGCAGAAAATGCTTCCACTTTGTTGCCTAAAGCTTCTTCAGTGTCATTCGTTGTGTTGAAATGTTTTGCTGGTGTTGGGGAATATGTTTATTGGAAGCACGTTTTGATCTTATTTGCACAGGGCACCGATGCCTTTATAGACTGGGTGCCTGTGGATGAAAACGGAGACCAATTGCATTTGCTCTGCCCGAAGAAGGTACGTGTCTTTCTTCCATTAACCCAAATAGCCCTGCTAACAGCTGAATAGGTCACGTATTGTACCTCGCACACACACTCAAAATTTGTCTCCGAAATAAAGAGTTGCTTTAGGGAAGCCATGTGTTACAATTCTATTTTATGTTGCTTTGCCTTTTTTAAATGTTTTACACAGGGAGATCATTGTGCTTTATACATCCTCCTGCAATTGGAGTGAACAGCTAATAAACAACAATATGAAATTACACCGGCACTATGGTTCTGATTTGTGAGGGCTCCATTTAGGATTTTTTTTTGTAGCAGACGTGATGCTATAATTTTAATGTTGTGCAATCGGTGAGATTGTCATTGGCCTTGCTCTTCTACCCATCTGCGTTCCGCTCGTGTTTATGCTTGTAATATTTGGCATGACTCCCAGCAAATTCTGTCCTGTATGTTATGCCTTTGCCAAGGGCTGCCAGTGACTCTTAAGGTGGTAAAAAACAACTGTTTCTGCAGTGCGGACATAAAAGGTCAGTTAACAGAAGAACTATGCAAAATATAATCCAAATGTAAACTGACCAGTTTAAGATAACACACACATTTTTTTTGCATATTTGTATTGGTTGCTGTAACAACTATGTAACATAGAGTGCTGCCAATTGTAATGAAAGCTGTGCAACCTCTTGCATTTTCTGCACAACATTAATTTAATTAAGCCTCACTTTAATTGACATCCCAGCTGCTGGCTTAATTTAGGTTGTATGTCAGATGTGGAAATCGGTTGACGTTAACAGTGCTGGCATATCATTAATAAATAATTAAATCGCCTGTGGCTAGCCACATCTCAAAATTGGCAAACACAGCAGGAATAAAATATTTAAAAATACTTTTTTAAAAAACACGCTTTAATGAAATGTACTGTCCGAGCTTCCCCTCCCCCTGCCCCTGCCCCCTTCCCCCATCGCCCCTCCCCTCCTTCCACATCCCCCGTCCCTCGGCGTGGCTCCCCGAGGCTTGCCGTGACGTCAGGGACCCCGTGGTGATTTATAGGCAACGTCAGTTGAGCGTGGACAATTAGAGCCGTAAACGTGGACAATTAGAGCCGTAAAAAAGATTGCTTAAAAAAATATATTTTTATTTTTAATGATAGAATATAGTCTTGTCATCAGTATGACACACCTATACCAAGTTTGCAGTCGATACGACATTGGGAATACGGTTGAAATTGAGTTACAAGATTTTAGGAGACGACAACACACAGAGTAAGTTAAATAAAAGCGTGTAAAATGTTTAAAAATATATATTTAGGATTTTTTTTATGATAGAATATAGTCTTGTCATCAGTATGACATAGGTATTTAAAGTTTGCAGTCGATAGCACATTGAGAAGTGTGTAAAAATTGAGTTACAAGATTTTTTTTGAGGCTACAACAGACGGAGTGAGTTAAATAAAAGCATGTAAAAACAGTCTTTGCTATACCGTAGGTGGCATTACTTTCGAATTACTCAAATGTGCATTGAAACAGTACTTGTTCTGCCTCCACATTAGTACTTTTATTTATATTTGGATCTTTTATAGCAAAAGTTCTATCTTGAAAACACTTTTGGGATCTTGTTTCTAAAATCATTTTTTTAGGTTGGCAAATAATGACAGTGTTCCCCTTATATAATTGGTACAATACACACTGAACAGAATGGCAATGCCTGCATGGGCAAAGACAAGTCACATGTGGCTACTATTAATAATGATACGTTTTACAAAATGGAGAAAAATACCTCTACAACGAGTGTGTTTAAGAGCTGCGCGTCACTCCAGCTTGTCTTCAGGCACACTCAAACCATGCTTTGGAATGTGAAGATTGAGCGTAAATGCCAAACGCTCCAACAACAATACGAATGCAGCAACATATTAAATAACTTAAGATTAGCAGGAGACCTGGACTCGTGACACTGAAACATTGTAGTAAGCTCCCTGACGACCGTTGCTCCTAGGGCTGATAAACCTGGACATCGCGCTCATATTACTTAATTTCCTGTTTTATTTGGTTACATTATTCGCCTCTTCTGCTTCCTCGTTAATCTGCTGCTCCTAATCTTTGCCCCCCTACTCTAGCAGGGCAGCGAGCCCAAGTGCCTCCATACAGCCCCCCATTCGAGGGTGTATTGTTCTGGGTTCGACACATTTTCGTAATTTGTATCTTCCTCTGCGATGCCACATTCTGGGTTCTTGAAAAAAAAGATAAATCAGGATAAACGTCCCAAGCTATTACTACAACTCTCTTGTTTTCTAAGTGTGATGTGCTGTATTGCATGTAGAGTGCTTAAAATAGATAATTACCATGGAGATACTGGCACTTGTCATCGGAATGCATAATTTCAACAATTGGCTCAAAGGTGCCAAGAGAGATAAGCGTTGCTCCCCCTCCCACTCAATATGAGCAGGAAGACACTTTCACTTTGAATAACCATGCACATTTTATCAAGTGAAACTCACTCTTTAGTGAACCACTTAGTCACTTGCAATGGCATGTGTTATGGTGTTGCATTTGTCTAAAGTTTTATAAAAAATAATGTCCGGGCTATACTAATAGGGGTTTTCCCCTTTTTTCTGGCAACAAAACTGACACCTTTTGCAAGGAATCATGCTTACATTAACCACAATACCTGCAGTCAAATGCAAACAAAAAACAATACTCTGATAATTTATGCATTGTCTTTGAAACTGATTGGTCCGCACCAGAGACAGCTTTCTTTGGAGCCTAGTCTCATATGGTGTTCGACCAGATGACGCCAAAAGGCGCACAGTTCAAAGACAACGCAATACCAGAGTAATGAGAGCTCGGGGTGAGCAGCTACATCATGGGATCTCTTTTGCCAGTACCAAAATATACTAATAGGGTTTTTCCCCTTTTTTCTGGCAACAAAACTGACACCTTTTGCAAGGAATCATGCTTACATTAACCACAATACCTGCAGTCAAATGCAAACAAAAAACAATACTCTGATAATTTATGCATTGTCTTTGAAACTGATTGGTCCGCACCAGAGACAGCTTTCTTTGGAGCCTAGTCTCATATGGTGTTCGACCAGATGACGCCAAAAGGCGCACAGTTCAAAGACAACGCAATACCAGAGTAATGAGAGCTCGGGGTGAGCAGCTACATCATGGGATCTCTTTTGCCAGTACCAAAATATACTAATAGGGTTTTTCCCCTTTTTTCTGGCAACAAAACTGACACCTTTTGCAAGGAATCATGCTTACATTAACCACAATACCTGCAGTCAAATGCAAACAAAAAACAATACTCTGATAATTTATGCATTGTCTTTGAAACTGATTGGTCCGCACCAGAGACAGCTGTCTCTGGTGCGGACCAATCAGTTTCAAAGACAATGCATAAATTATCAGAGTATTGTTTTTTGTTTGCATTTGACTGCAGGTATTGTGGTTAATGTAAGCATGATTCCTTGCAAAAGGTGTCAGTTTTGTTGCCAGAAAAAAGGGGAAAAACCCTATTAGTATATTTTGGTACTGGCAAAGGAGATCCCATGAAATGTCCGGCTGTTGAGCTGCCAACGTTGAAAGGAAAGAACTGTGCTGATGTTTGCCTCGGAAAACAAAGCACGTGTCGTGTTACCTTCATAGTTGAAAGAGCAAACCGAAGCTAAGTTTGTGCGATATGGGAAAGAAAACAAACAGAAGTCAATCACCAAAAATGAAACACCAAAGTTGTTTTCTGCCCAAATAGCTATGAGGTGATCCTTTTTTCCAGTTGACAGCCTTAAACCAGTGGCAGGAGTCAGTTCATAGGACAACTGTTGTTGATTTCCCCAAACGTGGTACTAATTTATACTAATTTTATTGATCCTAAATTCATGAATCGCCACCACTGACTCCGATTTAAACTCGCAACCTAATTGTGTATTCCATGCTTTCAGCACTTTGCCTCCTGTATGGATAATACTAAACCCAAATAATGTTACGCATAACTGATTTAATTCCAAGATTGGCCTGTTTTTTATCTGTTTCTCCAATGTGGGCTGAGGTAAAACAAAGAAACATGGCAGCACAGAGAATTGACCAAATACATGTAGAATGCTCTCTCGCACCTAAACAGTTTAACATTATTGAAGTTACAATGATTGAGTGGCACTAGCCAACGCTGGAAAGTCACCCAGTAACCAAGTAGCCACATTCCAAGGCTTCACCCGTGCACACCATGTGCGGGCCCGCGGGGTAGATGTGTGACCCCCCCTCCCGTTTTTGCCTGTACTTTATTTTGCCAGGACTCAAATGCGGTTGTGGACTGGAAGCAGCAGCCCACGGGGGCAGCAGCAGCGGGAGTTTCGGTGTCGGGGCGCCCTGTCCGAGCAGACGACGTGGATCCAGGATACGAGCCAGACTGGGCCGTGGTGAACACCGTGGGCTACAAGAAGAGAATCGGCTCTGAGAGTGAGGGTAACGACCTCGCACAACTCCAAATGTAACTTATTGGGGGTGGCTGGATTTCTCTGTGTTCCAAATGTTCCTTTGTTAGAGCACTGAGCCAGCATTATCTGGAACCGAGGTTGATTTCCTCATCTCTCATCTTAAATTAGGCCATCTTCTGTTGGGTTCAGAGCCTGACTTCTAATCTACGTTTCGTTCCTGACCTAAGAAGATGGATGTTTTTCCCCAGACTCGGGACCATATATGGCAGTGTTCTTCACTGCAAGGCCTGCGGGCGCTGGCTGATGTGCGGCCCCCAACAATACACAAATGTGAAAGCACTCCTTGCAGGCGATATGGCGGCCCTCACACTGATGTCTTATGGGTAAAAGTGGGCCCCCCTCTAAAAATTAGTGAACAACACTGATATAGAATACGGGGTTTAGCGACACCCCATGCTCAACCGAGTGGGGAAAACACGTTTTGTTTATTTATGAATCTGGTTCTCAAGTGATTAAAGTTTGGTATGTGCTTGGACACCATTGATCACACACAAATAGATGTAGTTTCATTTAAAATATTCCAGCTCTGAGAAACTGTGTGCCTTTCGTAGGATGGTGACATGGCCCAACAGACGCATGCTCACCCCTTGCTCGCTAAAGTTTATGGTTCGTATCCAGCAACCGCCCTGGTTATTGTTTTGGGTGTATTCGCTGTATATGTACGTCGTCTACTTCAGAGTGGAATTTAAAGATCTTGTGTCGTAATTTACAACAGTAGGTCAATTGTACCAGCACCATGGTCCAAACGTGCTAAGTTAAAAAAAAATACACATTAAATTGGGATTATACAGAGTAATCATCACCCACGACTGCAAAAACTTCTGCAGGACCCTCCTGAAAAAAAGTATAATAATACAATTGTTGGTTTAAAGGGAGGCTTACTAAAGTACTGCGGATGTATCATTGGTGGAATGATTGCTGTATAATTATTAATAAGTATTTTTTTAAAAATCGTGTAACATCAGCAAGGTGCCAGCACTTCTGTTGCCCTGTACTCACATTCCCTCCTTCTGTTTGGGATGAGACCACGTTTTCAAGAGTATTGAGTTGATGCTTTTAGTGTGGGTTCCAATGGCTAGTATAGTCCACTGCATCAGAGGTCGCAAACGGGTTTTGATTCCTTACCCGTACCCGGCCGCACCAGGGTCGCAAATGGGTACCTGTACCCGTTCCCTACCCGTACCCTACCCGAAATGAGTGACAAACGGTTACTCACCAGTGACTCACGGCCTACCTGTACCCGTACCCGGCCGCACCAGGGTCGCAAACGGCTACCCGTACCCGTACCCGGCCGGGTACGGGTAGCCGGGTATCGGGTAGGGTACGGGTATCGGGTACCCGGTTGCGACCTCTGCACTGCATACATGAATCACATAATTTGGCCTTCACCTCTTTTTGTGCTAAATGTCGGTGTCACTCAAGACACCCTGTGACCTATACTCTAAAACAGCTAAAGACACAAGTTGTATCGGTTTTGGTGAATGCCATATTGGACAGACGACATAACTAGTTTACATGTGTTCTTTTTTAGATATAATGGGTATTTATTCATATTGTGCTTGGATTCCAGTTGCACATTTGGGACACAATGTTGGTGGTAATGAACAGCAAACATTGAATGTTTGTGTCTAGGTAATAAACATTCTGTGTCACCATAGCCTGGTTTCAGGTTCTCACAATTGTTAATGCTTTTTTAAATTTTTTATTGGGGGGAAATTGCTATTGCTATCAGCCAGTATCATATTATATAAATGTGTCAGAATTTTCCACTGGCTGACGCTGCATTTGAGAACGGCAAACTCATTTGGTGGTGCTGTGGTAAGCGTTGATGCACGCTGACCTTGTTTGTATTTGCACTGGCCATCAACGTTTACCTAAGAGGAGAGCGCAATAAATATTTTCGAGCTTGCTAATTTAACGGACAAAGCCAGTACACTGTTCATTTATCGGCAAATTAATTTGCATGATACCAAATATGTGGGCATAGATGTACCCGTGGCATAGATAATTACACGTATTATTGTTTAAACGTTTTAGCGGAGACACAAACTGCTATTCATTCCAGTTACAGAAATTGTATTTGGAGGATTTGGATACTTGGCATCATTAGCTTATGTTGCAAAATCAAATTTCCAAAATATTTATGCAGTCTTACATCCCCCTGTGTGTCAGGTCTTGAGTGTCGAAAATTAAGTAAAACAGTTTCTGCAAGTTAAATTCTAATTGTATACAGTGTATGTATTGTATGTATATTGAACCTCTTACCGTGGTAATCAGAGATGCGGGGGACGGACAACAAACTATGAACATCAAAAAGCAGTTCTAAAGAAATCTGTTTTCAGTCTAATATTTAAAAGTGCATAGCTCTAGTAGCTTCCTACAATTGGAAGGAAGAATATTCCAGACCACCATGGAAGCGCATTTGAAAGCGCGCAATGCACTGACCATCTTTGTTCGATGGCTAGCCAAAAGGCGTGGCGAGGATGACCGGAGTTCGTGTGGCATGGCTATTCAAGTAACAAGGAGAGAACACTCATGGAGTGCGTTTATGTTATTTTATACATCAAGTAAGAGTACTGTGCTCTCTCAAATTAACATTAGGTGGGACTTTATCAGCAATTCTGAGCGAGTGGTGGTAATTCTTATGACAGGGATAAAACTTCCAAAGCACAACCACTGTTAATTTCTCACAAGAAGGTAGTATCCATTTTATCAACATCAAGAGAGATGATGATGCCTGAGTTGACCTACAACTTTGTTTTGTTTTCCAGTGGATGCTTGGTTTATGACACTTGCTATAAGTGACCAGTTGTGCTTTTGTGGACATTCTATGAAGAGAATTGTCCCCATCGTGGGAATGTAAAAATGATACCACTGGCTCCAGACCACCAAAGACATGAGCACTGCTGCATTGATAATTATATAAATTGAGCACCGAGACACATTTTACCTTTTCTAGTAATGTCTCAAGGGCTTTGATGTCTATATTCTTTGGTTCCTTCGGTAAAGTCACGTAGGTGAAAAAATTCAATAAAAATTAAAATAAATAAATTCAATCACGACGTAGAAGGGAAGTAATAAAATAATAAAAATAAAACATAATAAAGATAATAAGACCCGTCTTCAGGTGAAGACGGCTGCTTGCGTTGTAGCCGAAACGTCGTGAGAATTATTTTATTTTATTATGTTTTATTTTTATTATTTTATTACTTCCCTTCTACGTCGTGATTGAATTTATTTATTTTAATTTTTATTGAATTTTTTCACCTACGTGACTTTACCGAAGGAACCAAAGAATATAGACATCAAAGCCCTTGAGACATTACTAGAAAAGGTAAAATGTGTCTCGGTGCTCAATTTATATAATTATCAATGCAGCAGTGCTCATGTCTTTGGTGGTCTGGAGCCAGTGGTATCATTTTTACATTCCCACGATGGGGACAATTCTCTTCATAGTGTCATAAACCAAGGATCCACTGGAAAACAAAACAAAGTTATAGGTCAACTGAAGACGGCTGCTTGCGTTGTAGCCGAAACGTCGTGAGAATTATTTTATTATGTTTTATTTTTATTATTTTATTACTTCCCTTCTACGTGACTTTACCGAAAGAACCAAGAAGATGAATCCCTGCAGTCACGAAAGCTTTAAATCGAAATTTAAATCACGACGTTTCAATTGCAACACAAGCAATCATCATCAGGTGTGACAACCACAGCAAGACATTTTTTTACTGAAGTGGGAGATGTCTATTTTGATGTCTACTTTGTAGCAGGACAGCGGGCTGTGATAACACACCACGTTCGCGAAGCATTTGCAGGGACTTAAGGTACCACGTCGGTCAAGCTAACTCGGTGGCGAACATTTTGCTGGTCTTTCATTTCCTTATTCTGTTTTGGTTTGTAGAAACGGGGGTGTCCTTCCAGTCCAATACGCGCAAGAGCAAGTGGGCATTTGCCTTTAGCCTGTCTGATCTCAAGTCGATCAGGAAGAACAAGCCGGGCCTCGGCTGGTCCTACCTCATCTTTATCATCCGCGACGGCACCTCCTTCCCGGCCCTGCACTTCCACCAGGGGGGCAGCAAAGCGCTCCTCACTGCACTGAGTCGCTACGTCTCGCTCACCCGGTCAGTTAAGATGGAAGAGGAACGTTGACATGTGCGCACAAAAACAAAGATCCCCAGTATAGTCTGTGACAGACTGTTGGGGCAAGGGCTGATTGGAGCACCAATTAAGGCCTACACGGCACACAAGGGTGGCCAGCACCATGCCCGGCCGCCTTTGTCTCCACAGTGGCGATGTCTGCACACCGCACCAGGTATCCATTTAAGGCTGAGTCAACCTATGGGCGGCCCAGGACCGATTCAAATTATTGTCACTGGTGTTGACCGTGAGCGAGAATCGAACTCAGGTGGCCGGCTTCATAGCGGGCTCATAGCACAGCACGCTAACCGCTACACAGCACGCACGCACGTGCACCCACAAGACACTGAAGTTGTCTGGTTGTTGTGCAGGTCCCCGCTTGACTCGAGGCTCACGCTGGTGCACTGCCACGACACGCGCGCGCTCTCCCAGTCGATGGATGAGCTGCAACTCTTTGACGACGGAGCGCCGCACTTTGTGTCGGTACGTACTACGCCGACTGCCAGGCGCTTTTAACGAACGCCATTTTACAGTACGCGGGGCGTGGGGCGACTGCTTAACGTTTATCTATAGTGTTACGAGTATGACACGGGCACAGCATTTGACATCTGCAGACGGCTTGACTTAGTCTTCAACGTGCCAGTGCACCAAATTTATAATGCAACTGCTGAAGACCATCATTAGCAGGAAGTGTTACTACCTAGGCCACATTGCCCGAAACGACTACAAATACCAGCTATTAAAGCAAATCCTGGAAGGAAAAATCGAAGGGAAAAAACGACCAGGACGGCCAAAAACGACATGGCTCAGTAACATCAAAACATGGCTACAATTAACAACAGCACAAACTCTACACGCCGTGCTAGACCGGGACCAATATCATCGTGAAGTCGCACACGCCGTTAGGCAGCACTAAAGAAGAGAAGAAACTTGAAAGTGAAATTGTCTTCATACTCTAAAATTCAGTGGGGTGATAGTTATCTCTATGGCCCTTAGCTAATTGTAGATATCTTCTTGGTTCTTTCCGTAAAGTCACGTAAAAGGGAAATATTAAAATAATAAAAATAAAACATAATAAAATACAATTCTCACGACGTTTCGGCCACAACGCAAGCAGCCGTCCTCAGGTGAAGAACAGGTCTGTCGGAAAGACAGCGTCTGAATGTCTTTCTGACAGACCTGTTCTTCACCTGAGGACGGCTGCTTGCGTTGTGGCCGAAACGTCGTGAGAATTGTATTTTATTATGTTTTATTTTTATTATTTTATTATTTCCCTTTTACGTGACCTTACCGAAAGAACTAAGAAGATGAATCCCTGCAGTCACGAAAGTTTTAAATCGAAATTTAATTGTAGATATTTCACGTTTCTGCAGTGGAGGCCAGTTTTATCAAAGAATAACCATTTTGACCTTCTACAGCACTATTCATGACCTACCCAAGTGCACACCAGCTGCAGCCTTACCCAGTCAGATAATAACACTTGTTTTATTCAATAAGGAAAAATCTAACCGAGTCTCAGTGATTTTATTCAGGAGGGTCCTCCACTGCTTTGACATGAATGGTGATTTAATTTTTAATTGGTGTATTTCATGTTGGAGGATACCTGGAGTACAGACAAAACCTATGCTTAGGAAGGGATAACATTTATAAGAAAATTACTTTGCTTTGGTAGTTGCAGTACTGCCTTTTGGCCATGTGACCAGCCAATAAGTTGACAGCCGAATGAGTTGGAATTCTCGCAGGACGGAATGTCCCAATGAACATCATAATCTAAATTTAGTTCCTTCAAAAATGATAACGTTCGCTCAAAAGCATGCGAACACCAGCATTATCTGCTGAATTGCAGTCCTTAAAATCATCTGGTGATAGTTTAGTGGTCTCCAGTAGACTATTTCGTTGAGCCATAGTTAGCTTTTCTTGGATGCCAAGTTGGCAGTCTCTCCAAAGCTGCAATGTCATATTTGACAGCAATAAATGGTGCTGTACAGTGAAGCTTTGATCATTGAAAATGCCTCAAGCCATACATTTTTTTATAATTCAATCTTGCATCGAGTACTGATTTATTTGGGGATTTTATTTTGGATAAAGTACAATGCAAAAAAAGCCAAAGCAGTGTTTCCCTCCTCTAATGAGCATGGGGCAGTAACTCTCTCAGTTTACGACTGCAATCCAATGGTGTACATTTTTGTTAGATTTGCATTAAGTGGTACTCGTATGTCAACCACAATATTTTTAGCTGAGTTTATCCATGACCAAGATATTAACTCACAACGTGTATTTGTGAACTCACTGTCTCAGACCACATCACTACACAGTTGGCTATAGCAACGTCACAAATCTGACTTTTCAGAGCTGTAAGCTGGTAAAATGCCGGTGCTTTTTTTCATCGCCGCCCTTGCAGAAGTTCATCAAGGACCCGTACACAACGACGCTGGGCAGCTTCTCCAAGGTGACCAACTTCCTGCGGGAATCACTGGCGCAGCCGCACGAAGCGCCGCGCCACCGCCCCCCCAACGAGATCGCGGACCTCCTCAACGAGTCCATCCCTGGCCTCAACATCAACCAGCAGGAGGAGCCAGGATTCGAGCTCATCACCTGTGTGAGTGCAACTCGCGCGCGCACAAACGTAAGCGGGGCGGCACGGTGGAAAAAAACATGAGCAAATGTCTTGACATCAGCACGTGTGGTCTTAAGGTCCGACTTTTAGCACCAATGCTATTACAAAAATGTGTACCCAAGTCTGACAATAGGCCCAAGACATGTTCATGTAATTTCATGCTGCATTGTGTGCAGTCATCTGCGAAGCTGAAGTTAATGTATTGCCTTGCTTAATGGAGCATTAGGCAGTTCTCATCTTTGCTGATGGTCCTAAACCAGTGCTGAAATTCTGCATTCCTTTAGTAGGGCCCAGTCTTTCCATGGCACTTGTTGGCCTATACAACGTTGGTCATTGTATTCCAACGTTGCTGTTGGTGTCATGGCATGAGGCAAAAGAACGCCATTCAATAATTGATGATAGAAATAGAATTATGTTAGAAAATGTCTGAATAATGACACAGCCCCAAGGCCCCAAGGCACTTATGGTAAATTCTCACCACGAGCAGTGAAATGTCCCATGAAGTCAAAGAATCGCCCCTGGAGGATATGTACCCTTTAAAGAGTGTTGCAAGGCCAATCAACCTAAGAGAAAATACTGTTTAGAACTCGCATTGGCCAAATGTATGTAAAAAAATAAAATGTCCTTGCTGCAGCCATCATTTCACCAATCAACCCAATGTAATCATGAATTCATTGTCCCAGTGATATTGCCTGAGCGTGCCATGGCCATTACGAGCTTCTGGACTCCATCCAGCCACCTCAAAGATGCCGGCGTTGTTGATGCAGTCTTCCTTTTCCTGGAACCTTTATTAACCTCACTTGCTGCACGGTTGCGCATTCAGACCGAACTGGGCCCCAGGCCAAATGTGCAGCGACGGGAGCCGGTGAGCACGGAGGAGTGGGAGCGCTACATGGACCCTGAAGGGAGAGTGCGCGACGTGGACAAACTGAAGGCTGCCATCTGCCAAGGGGTAACGATAATATTTTTTTTAACCAAAATACTCTTACCTCCTCGGCTACAGACGCTGACTTGTAACAGAAATATATATATCGTAAGTAACATGTTGCGCAATGGACCTTCTTCAGTGTTTTTTTGCATCTTTCCATTGTAAATAAGTGGCTGTTTGGAGTCTTTTTTAGTTTTTTAGGGATTGGGATTTTAGGACGGTTACTTTTTTTCGGCCTGTTCTTCCACACTGGCCAGGTGTCTTGAAAGAAACGTCCTTATCCACATTTTAGCTGAGGTCTCTCGCGAGGTTCCTCCACTGGACGCCCCTCTGCCAAGAGTGGCATCTGCAAGCAAATTCATGGCTGCCCCTTTTTGCCTTTTTACCTTTTTTAATTTTCATGTTGGAATAACCAGAGTGCCCTGAGAAAAACGTCACAAATGCTGTGTCTCCCACTATACACCATGGCATTCTTGGCTGGCGGGTGAAATGATTATAGCCTATATTCTTGGTTCTTTCGGTAAAGTCACGTAAATGGAAAAAAAAAGGATACAAATTTTGTATTTTATTTTATTATTTTTATTAAAAATAAACAAAAATTTACGTGACTTTACCGAATTAACCAAGAATATGAATTCCTGCAGTCACGAAAGTTTTAAGTCAAAATTTGATTATCGCCTAGTTGTGGGTTAATATTGTGGCTGAAATATTATCTCGCAAGCCACACCCCTCTGTCTCGTTTCTGCTCCTCCCTCAAGACCCCCACCTCTTCTCTATGGCCCATCCTCCCCTCCATCCCTCGGTACCCCAGTAATTACCGTACCCACTAACCTCCCTCCCCATACCGATGCCTATTCACCAGAGGTGTGGACTCGAGTCATGTGACTTGGACTCGAGTCAGACTCGAGTTATGAATTTGATGACTTCAGACTCGACTCGGCAAAATGTACAAAGACTTGCAACTCGACTTGGACTTGCATAACAATGACTTTGTCCCACCTCTGAGGTGTGGACTCGAGTCATGTGACTTGGACTCGAGTCAGACTCGAGTCATGAATTTGATGACTTCAGACTCGACTCGGCAAAATGTACAAAGACTTGCAACTCGACTTGGACTTGCATAACAATGACTTTGTCCCACCTCTGCTATTCACCATACCATACCACCATCGTACCACTTATAACCCTTGTAAAGCACCTATAAGATAAAATCAATGTTTGGCAGTTGTCACACTAAAGCAATGTTACTACACTTCGGCCAGTCATACACCAGTAATATCGCTAGAGGGGGCATTACTTGAAAGTTGCCTTGTCATGCGAGAAAAAAAGTTTTTCTCCATTAAACAAAGCTTCAAGCTCACTTGATACAAAATAATATCAAGGTTGTATTTTGGATGCGTCTTCATGTAATTAATTGAACGGCCTGTTGCTGGTGTTATTGCAGGGTCTGGCGCACTCGCTGCGGAAGGAGGTTTGGAAATTCGTGCTCGGATATTACCCTTGGACAAGCACGACAGAGGAGAGGAAAGCCGTCGTGAAGAAGAAAGCGTGCGTGCTAGCCAATTCGGCACTCGCAACACACGACCACAAACTGTGTGATCGGGGGCAGCAGAGGCAGTGCTGCAGAAATAAGAGCTCTGCATCGGTTAAATAAATGATCCAGCGTCACAGTATTATGCCCTTTCGTGTGATTGATAGCAGACAAAACCATTAAAGTACTGAGGCTGTGCACTCATGGCTCTGAGCCATTGGTGAAAACTCCATTCTCCTCTGGTGGTTTCCACAGGATACCAGCGAGTAACTGCCCCACAATGCTGATGTTTATTTTCCTGACGCCAGATTGATGTGGGGCTTATTAGACCCCCCCAACCAGGATCTGAATGTGAAACCTGCCGATAGCAAGTCACGTAGTATGATCACTGCACCTCCCAGCTGGTTGGTCGACAGAAAATCTTGAGAACATTTGGTAGATGATGGAATTTATCAATTTAAGTGGGTTCTATAAATGTAAGAACTGCCAATAATTTTAGTGCATTAATGCTCTACTGACTGTGACAACATTGGATTGGCATTATCAAGAACCTCTTCTTTGAGTTAATTAAACATGGTTCTGATGCATAGACCATAGATTGTTTAATCTACATAACAAGCTGCATGTTACAGGAGCCCATGGCTTAAAACCTAATCGACAGATGCAAGTGCAAAACACATCCTCCTGTGATGGTGCAATGTTGCTGTATATTGGTAGCCAGTGTAATGTTCTTTTAAAATAAAAAAAGATATCAGAAGTGGCTAAGTTATATATTTACAGTCAGTTCTGATACCCAATAACACCGTGGAAAAAGAGAGTGAAAGTAAAAACTAAATGCATTTCAATTCTAAAAGAAATGTAGGCCTAATCTAGGCAAGGAGCACACTCAAGGCAGATGTTAGAGCACAACATTCTGTTTTTTTAAAATGACCTTTGGTAGCCTTGGACATTGTTTGGTTGATACCCTGATTTGTTTAAGTAATGCAGCTCGTTACTGATAGTGGTAAGCTGTACTGTGAGCTGCAATAACTTGATTACTGTTTACCCAGTTATATACTGACCACAACAGATAAGAGCGTATTCATTCTCTTAGCTGTTAGAAGGGGACAATCAATGTTTTGATGTAGATAATTTCGCTGAATTGTTTTTAAGAGTGTTTGTTTCACTGTGCGCTAGGGATGAGTATTTCCGCATGAAGCTTCAGTGGAAATCTGTGAGCGAAGAACAAGAAAAGAGGAATTCGAACCTGCGCGATTACAAGAACTTAATCGGTAACAACTTTTATGCTTTGTGTAGTTTTGGTGTAGAGTGCAGAGTGACCCACTTCATAAATCTGACTTGACATGTGGGGTTGGTAGATTACACAGCGTCTATCCTGCATGTGATATACTCACCTATATGGTTGGTGTTGTGCTAGCTTGTAGAAAGCAGAACCTATCTGTGCATTTTTAATACCTTTGTGTGTTTCTCGAAGTACTGCCATGTTTTCAGAAAAACACCCATTTGAGAAATTGACCATCATTGTTTACGCATTCTAACGCCTTGGCCTCACTGAGTTTCAAAATTAGTTTTCAGGAGAGTCCTGTATTGGGATGTTTGACCATTTTTTGTTGTACACTTTTGCCATTTTTAAGACCACTTTTGCCTATGGTAGGAAACTGGAGTACATTGAGAAAAACCGTGTCATGATGCACCTACTTGCTGTACTGCCACATCATTATCACCATCCATCATTTATGATTTATGTAGAACCTCACACCTGCGTGACAGGTCTCCAGATCTCAACTTGCAGCCCAGTGGGTTTGGGAGGTTCACAAATCCACACGGTCCACAAACAAATGCCTCCAATGCATTGGATTACAGGTGTGCTCCAATATGCCTGGCGCATTTAAGATACGGAGCTTTAATTATAAAAAGCTGCAGGTTAAGAGTGCTCCTCTTACAGTGCCAAGGCTGCTGCAAGTGTCTTTCAAGGGACATTGACTGCTTATTGTTTTTGCTGTGATCATAACCAGCATGAATTAGTGTGTTCAAGATTGTATTTATACTAAATGTACTGCAAAATTCTTAACTCAAAGTTGCTGTTGGTAAAAGGTAAATAATTTAAAAAACAATACGATTAGTTGTTTGTTGCTGGCTTTGCAAAACAAGGTGGCCCATCTGTAATAGCGAACGAGTGCACGTTTGCTCACAGTGCAATACAAGTCTACAGTTTTGCAGCAATGCATAAACAGAGTTAACGGTAAAAGGGAAGCTATGATGGTCCTTGGCAGTGCAAGTGACATCTGTGGAGGCACCTCTGGCTTTAATACAATGCTTGTTGTGTTGTATGCATTGGGGTATGAATTGCACTTTGTGCATCGATATTAGCACAGGTGTGCCGCCTGTGGTTTGGTGTTTGACGCTTCACTGCATGTGTTTGCTGATGATGTGACAGGGTGGTGTCTCACCTCTGCCCCCGTTATATTTTATTGTTCGTCGTTTACAGAGAAGGACGTTAACAGGACAGACCGCACCAACAAGTTCTATGAGGGCTCGAACAACCCAGGGCTCACCCTGCTCAATGACATCCTGATGACTTACTGCATGTACGACTTTGATTTGGGTAAGCATAAAGTCTCTGTCGGCTACATGCAGAATCTTTGCCTTGTGTTTTGGGAGTTTTGGCCTCGTGTTTAGCACACTGTGCTAAGATAACAGCAACCGCTCTTTCAATGTGCATATGTGGTAAATGGTATCTGAATCTGTCTTTTTCTCCCCGTGTCAATTCAAAGGTGTCTGAATGTGGTGCTGTCCATCCTACTCCTCCTCGTGCTGTCTTGGCTTTAGGTGACAGTTCTTGATGACAGTTCTTTGGTGCTTCAATCTATAAGTTTTAATGGAAATCTTTGTCATTACCCCATGTGTGTGACTGCAGGATACGTTCAGGGCATGAGTGATCTGCTCTCCCCCATCCTGTACGTGCAGGAAAATGAAGTAGATGCCTTTTGGTGCTTTGTAGGTTACATGGATCAAGTGGTGAGTAATGCATTCAGGCCCACGGTAACAACATGCGCATGCCAATGCACCAGCTTATCCCTTGGGGGCAAGGCCTAGTGTGATTACACCAAAGTATGACATCAACCTTGGACCAGTGTAATGTAAGAATGTGTTTCTTATACGAGAACTTTACTTGTATAAAAACAAAAAGTATGCTTGTTTGTAGCTTTTAATGTATTGAGGTTAATAAAAGTTAATGTCTATCTTCTCAAATGAATGTGGGTTGGTGCTTATCTCCATTGGCATTCCTGAACCATTAGTGGAAATTAATCATTCTTATAGCAGAGGTTCATCTCATTATACATAATTGTTATTGCAATGGTAATAATTAGTGTACATATTTTTCCAGAGTCATTCTAACAACGTTACTTATAACCTTCAAACTGATGATTTTAAATTAATGGCATTGATGTATTTTTTTTCCCTTTGTTTTATTATTTGTGATGATTTAAATATGTAAGTAGTGCTTGCCGGTCGTAATTGAGAGCTCCTCCAATGAAGCCAACAGAATGCCGACCCCCTTGATTGTTGATGCGTGATTTGTCGTGGCACAGCACCACAACTTCGAGGAGAGCCAGCAGGGAATGAAAACTCAACTCGTGCAGCTCTGTCAGCTCCTGCATTTGCTTGACCCAAGCTTCTGTGATTACCTCGGTAAGAGACAAGTGATCTCATTTGCATTGCACTAATCCTGCATACAAAATTAACTAGATAAGAGACGACTTCGATGGAAGGGGGGGAGTCTTTTACAAAATACAGTATATCTGCTAGCTAACTAAATTTTGCTCTGAAGTAGAAAACTCGACCCATGTTTATCTTAATTTAGTAAATAAATTTTTTAAAGATAAACATTTCATGTTCCAGGTGTTTTTACATCGATAGAACTTTGTTTTTTTATCGCAGAAACGCACGACTCTGGAAACCTGTACTTTTGCTTCCGATGGCTGCTCATTCGCTTCAAGCGAGAGTTCTCCTTCCAAGACATCCTGCGCCTCTGGGAGGTAAGACAGCCACACACATTCATAGCGGTGAGGCGGTGGCGGGATGTCAACTACCTCTTTTGCAATACAGGAGGTTGTGGGTTCTGTCCCGACCCTGACACTTGCATATTTGGAATTTGCATATTCTCCCTGTGGCCATGCGGATTTTTATTCGGGTCCTCTGGTTTTTCCCCTCTACATTTAGAAACATACGTTGAGAGTATTTGGCTGCTATTAATTTCCACATGAAATGCCACTAAATTGAGCTATCATTTTTTGCCAGGTCACTTCTGAAAAAGAGCTGTCTAGCTCAGGTGGGGCTTAGAAAGCCAGTGAAGAGCGCGACTGTTTGTACCGGGTACGCAGATTGCTGATGAGTTGCGATTTTTCACAGCTTGCTTGCACAATTGCAAGTGTGAAGGTTCAGATTCCTGTCAGGGTTTGGACTGTTTATCATCACATTGGGGTTGATACAATTTGGTACCGTTTTGTAGGAAATCAAACGGCGATTTTCCTGGAGAGAAAATTACCCTTGCCATGAGAATGTGGTCAATCAATTGCAACTCAAATTGTGCCGTTTGTTTTGCATGTCATCACAACGCATCTTGCTCCCTAAGCGTCCATAAAAGAAAAAAACTCCAACATTTATTGTTTGTTCTGGGAGAAATTTGTACTTGACTTTGACATGCAGTTCTCAAATCTGTTCACAGTCGTAGAAACACGGGGGCATTGGATTTGTAAGACAAGCGCTCGCTTTTGTAGTTTGGCTTCGGGACTGTGTTGTTGAGATGATACCCATGTCTCCGTGTATCCTCTGTGTGCTTGCGTGTTGCAGGTGATGTGGACCGGCCTGCCGTGCCAAAACTTCCACCTGCTGCTCTGCTGCGCAATTCTCGACATTGAGAGGCAGCACATGATGGATGCCAAGTGTGGCTTCAACGAGATCCTCAAGGTAGAGACCGGTCTGCTTGACCTCTCACTGCACTTTGATCTAAGGGCAGTATGGCTTTCTCTTTCCATAGCTACGACATACTTTCTTCAACTGTAGATATTATCAAAGTGATACGCCATGTGTATTAATAGGATGATTATTACATTTTTGCTGTAAGTTTCCTTGATTTTTTAACTGCCCCATTGTGAGTTAAGTGCTCTAGCCATACTGTTTAACACGCATATCCTTCTCTACTCGGGCATATACCAAAGCGCACACGAGTAATGTTACTCTACACAGCTCGGCATAATAATGTCGGGCTCCATATTTACTTTGCGGTTAATGTTGCACCATTTGACATGGGCACCGGTGATTATGTTTCCGAAACCGTGCAGTGGTGGTGGTGGTGAATGCTGCTCAATGTGGATGTCTTGCCGTGTTGCAGCATGTGAACGAGCTGTCTATGAAGCTGGACGTGGAGGAGATTCTAAAGAGGGGGCAGGCAATTTACCTGCAGCTGAGCCAGTGCAAAGTGAGTGGCATCACTGCCTATGACCATCTCTCTTCTCCCTCCCCTTACCAAAAACAACAAGAATCCATACAACTAATTTTTCCCAGTCATGCTTGTATACCACTGTTCTGAACAGGATTTAGACATAAGGTTTGCATGTAGATGCCATGTAAATCCAAATGTTATACTTATGGTAGATTAGGTGTTTTAAAAGTCGGTGTGGTCAATGGTGGAGTTGTCACAGCCACTGCTATGGAATTTAGGTGATTGCCTTCTTGTGCGTTATTTATTGTCCGACTTGTTAACCTGCTTAAGCCTGGTTTTGCCACTAAAACCGGATAATGCAGCTGATAGCGATAAAATGTCACGATACATAACTTGTCACACTGTAATAACATAACAAACTGCCACAGCAGGTGATACCACATGCACACACGCTGTCTAAGCAAGCTCTATCACAAAGGGCCCTATCATGTGGCATTTATACACCTTGTGCACACATTTGCTTATTTGGTATTGTCCAGAATAACCAAAATGTTGATTCTCTGCGATAACTTCACTTGCAGTTGCATGTGACAAATATCCTTGTCTGTTTACATACGAGTGACTCTTCACTCTATATCTCTTGAATGTTTACGGACCTTAATCTGTAATAATACTATGATCAGTCTGAAAAGTATCTGCCCAAGCCAATATACACTACAAGGAATGTTATTTAACTTTGAATACGTTCGTACAATATTTTCGACTTCTCATGTGACACATTTGTTTTTGCTGTGATTTCTATTTGCTTCATTGCTGAACTTTATTAATTAGTTTTGCTTTGCAATTTTGTTGACCGAGGTCATGCTCGATAAACGAGACGCTTCCTGCCACCTTGAGTTTTTTCACCTCGTTAACCAAACCAAACTCGACACCTAAACCAGGCCTCAACTTCCCCCCACTGTCCCCCTGTCACACGGTGCACAGGAGCTTCCGCGCTCCATCCTGGAGATTCTGGGCATGGGCGAGGAGACTGTGGGTGCCGGCACGCCCGAGTCGGACAGCAACAGTAGCAGCAGCAGCACCAGCAGCGGCGGCGGCGGCGGTGGCAGCAGCAGCAGCCACAGCAGCGGCGGCGGCAGCAGCCCGTCCGGGGTGGGAGAGAGCCACAGCCCTGCTCGAGGCTCGCGTGCCGAGAGCTCCGTAGCCAGCATGGCCGACAGCAGCATAGAGATCGTGCAGGACGACGAGGGTGGGAATTGAGCCACCGCAGGCGGGCGGGCGGGGGGTAGCGTGGGGCTCTTGGCGGCGCTGACTCGGCGAAGGCAACCCCCTCGACTCGGCATCACACACACGGTCACCGACCTTGTCTGTAAACTTAAACTGAGACCTAAATCGAACCTTAGCTATAATCCTAGCACTAAATCCAAACCGTAGCTCTAACCCTAGTCCTAAATGAATACCCTCGATTTTCTTATTCCAGCTGATACACAAAACATTAGCTGTTGTCCTAGCCCAAATCCCAGACCATTATCCTAATTCCAAACCCTTAGCTTTAATCCCAACTTTTGCCAAATCACATTGGTCTAACCCTAAGCTCTGAGGCCACATTCTTAGCTCTTACCCTAGCCATTAACTGAGCCCAAGTTCTAACATTAACTCTGTCCAACACTAACACTATTATAGGGTAGGCGTTAACCACTTTTTTTTTTACTGAGGACCGCTTTAATCTACTTACAATGTCAGAGATGAGAAACGCATTTTTACATTTGTAATTGTAAATCAGGAATATGGCACCTATTCTCAAAGGGAGAACGAGGAATCAAGGCTTGTTTATTTTTAACAGCACATGTTTTGCATTGCAGCAGCGCATGCCAATTGAGTATGGACACCTTTCGTTAGGCCATGGCGATACGAGACCACTTTGACTTGAAACTAAGTTGCAGGACACTGGGCTACAATGCGTTTGTTTTTTTAATAGTTATTGAGTTTATATTTAAGTGTCTAAACCAATCAGCCTGCTGAAAAAACGAAGGGAGACAATGTGATGTCCCTATCTTTAGTAATGGCGATAGATTACAATAGATTCAATTGGCAGGTGGTCATTGTGTTTTGTTTTTGTCTTCAAACCAAATTGTCAAATGATAAACTGATTGAGTCGGATCGCTTCAAATGTCGCAAACTATTTACCCTGCAATCACTGAACATAACACAAAATGCCTTATTTGTAATTGGCTGGGATGGCCGCACATGTCTGCCCTTGTGTGCCTATGCCACAGTCTGGGACCTGGTCCCAACTTCCTGAAACAAAGTTTCAAGCCATAAAGTGGTTCTGTGTTCCATCGTGTTTGGCCACAACCTTCCTCCGACAGGTTTCCAACGTCGCGAGCGTATCGACACTCAAAACCAGACGAGGAACGGCACCGCATCTATAGCAAGCGTGATGACCCCTCATTAATTTGTTATGTTTTTGAAACGATGCTTAAATTTGTTTTAATTTATTTGTAAGTTTAACATTTTCAAAAAGTACATTGACCTTTTGTTAAAGGTTACATTGTTGAATGTGTTCATGTGCTTACCGCCAGCATGGTCTCCTTCCCACTGAGTAGTTCACACACAGCAGTGTTAAATCATCTGTCACAAGTAGTAAATAGGTAGGCGTTAGAATAGTCTACGGTAATGGCATGGCAGTGTACGGGTTTTATGCTTTTACATGTTGAGGCAAAATTGACTATCCTTTTATGTATTAGCAGCGAAGCCCTCTGACCCCATGGGGAAGCCCCTTAAAGGTCTACTATAAAGGAACAAATATCTGCTCATCACAACAGGCACCGAATACCCACGACCCACCTATTGGAACCAAGTAATCTTGCACATCCGTATAGTTAAACGCGAAATGAGAGAGTGGATAGATAACTGGCTGTACATTTGAAGTTTTAGAATGTTTCTAATCTTCTTCCGATGAATGTATCATTGGAAAAAATACGACATGCAATATACTGTATTGATATGCTGCCATTCAAGTTAGAAATTTAGTATCACAAAAATGCCACGGTAGGGTCGACCTGCAGTTTAGTATTTGGGAATGTTGTTCGTGCATTATTTAATTTCAGTGTCTTAAAATTTACCGAATAGATGTAACAAAAATAACAAGTTATCCCGCGCGTACCCTAATTGCATAATCCACTGTACTGTGTGTAATAGAGTGGACCTTTGAAATGGCACGATTGCTTGTATATCCCAGCTACTGCTGTGATTGTTTAAGCAAAGTTGAATACATGTATAGTGAATTCTGCACAAGATCAACCTTTTTTTTTAAACATGTAAAATTCGTTGCCATTTTGGTTAATTTTTGTTATTTTGAAGCTTGTAAGCCTTACTTTGTCCTCGGTCCTTGTTTGAACATTGGTGCGCCGGGTCCAGGTGACGGTGTTGTTATCTTCTTTCTCTGTAAATATGCATTATACACAGTCGGGCTGCATTAAACTGAAATGTACGTAGAGTCGTTTCTGTTGCACTTTTTAATTTTTGAAAGCGAGCTGTGCAAATTACTTAAAGGCTGAGAATGCAACACAGCGAATTATTTGAAGGAAATACTAAAAAAAATAGTGAAGGATGTGTCATTACAGTAAGAAAGCTGCATTGCTTCTATATTAAGAATTTTCAAAGTACAATTGTCATTTCATGGAATGGTAAAACATTAATTTTGGATTCATGTGGGCAGTTGTGCAGTTGATACATGTATAGGACTTTTCAGGTGAACATATAATGTATCTTGTAAGATTTTTTTTATGCCTAATAAGAAATTTTTAGAAAGTCATACAGTAATCGAAATAAAAACATGTAATTGCAATAATGTAGCTTTATGTTGACGCATTCAATTAAAGGCGTTGTGATTGAATTTCTGAAACGGCATTGCAGGTTAAAGCACGCAACGCGTTACGCTGGATCATGGCATCCAACAGAATAGCGTTTGTATATGAACGGGGTGATTTAAATAAAACTTAAGGTGGCACAGAACGGAGGCCTGGTGTTTTATGTGGTGTCTGCATATTGCATAGGTGATGTCAGTACGGTCAACCATTTATTTTTGCCTAAAACCTAAAAAACCTTACAATGCACTAATTATGTATATTAGGCATTGGGCAGTTATTCTATAACTTAATTAAAATTTGTCCAAGTGAGTGCGCTTGATATGCTTGGTGTGTACATTCTGACATGCACTTTTGCGTTACCCTCATAACATTGCAAACCATGTTCACTAACACAAATATGGCCAAAACAGTTCAATGGTAAGACGTTGGCAATGCAGTTTTGTGAAATGTCAAAAATATACTTATCTTTTAAAACCTACAGGTGAACTCAGCTGTCAAAACACACAAACTTAGCAGAATATATAAATATATTACATCCCTATGTCGATCCACTGCTGGACGGAGGCCTGACCACACCGTATCGATCACGGGGGATTTACGACGATAATGAGCCAAGAATGTCTGTGTGTCCTGCGTGTGACGTCACTCTACGTCGGCCAGCCCCCCTCATTAATAATCATGAACAGGTGACGTGTCCAAATAGACACACCCCCCCCCATTAATATTAATTAGCAGGTGATGTCACTCCACATGGGGGGGGGGGCGCCTCCTCCCCCCTCGGCGTCAACTCACAACCCTCACGTCACGCAATCTCTGTAACGCTGCTGTTGAGACAGAATGTTGACTTCAAGCTTTCGTGACTGCAGCAATTCATATTCTTTGGGTCTTTCGGTAAAGTCACGTTTCAAACGCAACACAAGCGGCCGTCATCACTACCGCTTGTGTTGCGATCGAAACGTCGTAGATTTTTGTGATTGTCTTTGAACCTATCCACGTCGTGTTGAACAAGGGATTATAACCTTTAAATGAAATAGGTCTGTGTCACCGCGCCCTTACCAAATTGCACACGAATTGATGCAATGAGTATCACGTCGCGTTCTGCTTTTCGCTTGCAAGTTTCAGATTTACTGCAAATACACTCGTCCTAAGACGGGCAAAAGACTATTTTTTGAATATTCACTATCCTCGTCAATGACAGTTGAATGGGGGTGCCCAAACGGGATAAGATATAACTCGCCACTGATGTTTGCCATGGCCAGGTATTAAACTCGGGTCGCTGGGTTCATAAACAGTGCATTAACTAATGCCCTACCGCTTCATTATAATCTTAACGAGTTCTTTATTTAAAACCGCATGTTAATGAGGGCTGAGCCGCAGTGGGCATGACCGATTGCGTTTGCATAAGCTGCCTTTGATCGTTAACATATTCCCATGATGAGTTTTCTCTGTAATTATAGGCACAATCTTAAGCTGGAATATTCTGAATCTGCATTTCTTGATCACTGAAAACACACACAGCAACATATACTCATAAAGTCCTCGCCGAGACTTCATGTTTTACAGAAGTCCTGCATTGGGGTGCTTAGCCAATTCCAGTAATGAGCGACATGTGGGAGGAAAGTGGATTAACTGGGCCTGGATAAGACACGTGGTTTGAGGTCACAGAGGGTTGTCAATATATTGGTGTACTGCCATCAGGTAGCCCGAGTCTACACCTAGTATCTCAAGGCAGTCTCCCATCCAAGTGGAGAGGAGTGAAATATGCGGTGTGCGCACAGCCGAGGGCAACTCAGGGCAAACGGGGGCACGCGTGCAAACGTGAGGTTTGCACGGACAAACTGCACGGCAGGTGCAAACGGGGTCGACCGGTTGTCGGAGGTGTTGCCAGGGAGATGGGAGATAAGGGTTGATACAGGTAGGAACAACAGGTTCCACACTGCCCACCAGGGATTATTTGTCTGTCGTGCATATGGGGAAGGTGGGGGTGGGAGGGGTGGGGCTGGGTGTAGAGGGGAGGGTGGGGAGGGGCTGGGTGTTTTTTGTTTGCATTTTGACTGAAAGTATTGTGGTTAATGCAGACATGAATCCTTGTAAAAAGGTTTCAGTTTTGTTGCCAGACAAAAGGGGAAAAAGCCTATTATTATTATGCCTTAGAGCTGTGAACAGGATAAAAAACTACTGTTACCATTGGCAGAAACAATCTGGTTACATCGGGCTATGGATTCCTGCAGTCACGAAATCTTCAAATCAAGATGACATCAATTAGTTTTTTTATACGCCCTGTGGAATCCCGAAATTATCCACTAGGTGGGGGTGCATGTTTTTGCAGACTCGAGAACAATTGAAAAAAGAATAGGTTTTACCCTTTGTGGCAATAAAACAGGTGTTAAGATGTTCAAACACCAAATAGAAACCTTTTGCAAGGAATCATTATCAGAGCATGTTTTTGTGTGCATGTTCACCACAAGTGTGGTGGATACAGACATGATTCCTTGCAAAAGGTTTATACAGCATTGTGCTTGAACATCTTAACACCTGTGCTATTGCCAGAACGGGTAAAACCGATTCTTATGTTTTCATACTTTGATACTGGCAAAAAAGGTCCCATGTCGAGAAGAATCGTTTACCGTCTTGAAACGTTAACAGCAGCTCAGAAGTAGCCTCAATGACGAAGGCATGCATGTGGCATGCCATGCTTTACACTTGTGTCTACACCGTATGTTTTATTAATTGTAACAGGGTACACGTGTTCATTGTAGACTTGCCATTGTTTTTAGAATTGACGATTTACTTTATTTTATTTCTCCACCGTTAAGGTCCTGTTTTAAAGAACCACTATCTGCAGGGCATTACTCGGTGCATTGCACGCTGTGAAAGCAATGCAAAAAATAAAATCTGAAAACCCAGATGAAACCCATGCACGAGGTGAGAACATTCGAACTCAACAAAAAAAAATAACCCGAGTCGGGATTCTAAACAAGGAATTTGTCGCCGAAGCACACAGCAAGTGTTACCACTGCGCTAACATTAACAACACGACTGAATAATACATGGGCTCAGTTACTTAATGTGGCACATCCTATTGGCACCTAAGCATTTACAACTATTGCGTGTGGGATTTAACTCCACAAAATGTTTCTCGCTTGATTACGGAAGATGTATGTTTTGTTATGGACACTGGCCCTTCACCGCTATGTTTGTTCTCATCGTACAAGGCAGATTATGTAAAGTTTGTTGAGCAGTAGTGGCAACAATTTTGTGAAGTTAAACTATTTAAAATGAAAAGCTTTATTATTTTGCCAGGTAAGGCCCACGGAGCGATTTAACTTTTTTCAGAAGCGACCTCGCCACAAATGAGAGCTCAACGAAGTGACTTATGTGGAAATTTATAGCAGCCAAATACTCTCAACGCATGTTTATTCTAAATGTGGAGGGAAAACCGGAGGACCCGAAGAAAAATCGCCTGCATACCTGGCGAGGGAGTTAACATCTTGCCACGGTGGCCGGGTATTTCCAAGATTCCAGAGTGTCGTGCTGGGGAACAGCAATCCCTGTTTCTGCTGTCAAGCTAATATTTACTGGTAGGAACCTCCTGGTTACACCAGCCCACGGGATTATTGTGTCCGTCCGTCGTGCAGGGTGGGGAGGGAGGGGCTGGGTGGGGAGGGGTTGGTCACCCCGTGGTACCCTTATAAAACTAAACGTTTAACCTACTCACGCCGGCTTGTGCCCGCCCTCAGTCGGCCATATTTGCGGAATACACCACGCCTCCGTTGATTCTGGCCATTGACCGAGCAACCCAACGTTCCTACCAGCTCCCTCCGCAGGAATGTTAAAGTTTAGCTGCAGAGTTCGGTGAAAGGTGTCACCTATGGATTCAAATAGTCCAAGTTGTGCAAAAAAAAGTGAATCGGTAACGGATCATGAACTTACTTGTGTGCACTCAAGAGTTGAAACTGCTGCATAACCAAAGTGACAGGAGGCAGAAGTGAGAAATTCAATATTTGTCGTGGCAATCTCACCTCGACACAAGCGCGCACCTTTCCCCTGTCAGTGACTTATTTAAGCAAGGCACTTGAAAAATACCATCCTGAAATGTGGCGAGGCTATTTTAGTGTGTTACTGGAGATGGCAGCTTTACCTGTACCCAATACCAGTACAATACAAACAATTAAACTTAAGATAAACAATACGTAGAATATTAGCTCTGGGATGCTGTAGAGTAAACAACATTTTAGTATTTAATCACACCTATTTTAAACCCTAATTTTAACCTGTGAGAAACATGACACACCAAGCACATGTATCAAATGGACAATTTATTTACAGCCACATAATGATCAGATTACCTAATGTGAGTGCAATATCAACAAGCACAATGTAGATATGGATGTGACACGTTACAAAAGAGAATGTGCCATAGTCGTAAAACCAAATATTGCAAATGATTTGTAAAAAAATACTGCTTTATAAAACTGTCTAGGTTACAAAGTATTGTGCTGAATTCGTAAAAGTAAAAATGACAAGTTGAATATCCATATGAAAACCAATTAGGCTACATTTAATATTAATTATTGTATCACAAACCTGTTTCTATCTCATGTCCAATAAGTGTTGAACATGTGTTTGATTTAAATGAATTAAACACCATTTTAAAGCCTTCACCCAAGTAAAATCATGTCACAAAAGCACTTCGCTGTGGACAATTTCACCTATTTTTAACAACAGTTGCAGGTTTGACAAACCTGCCAACCAAGTGAAATGGGTGATGCAGAGTGTTTAGCATTAGAACACATTTATACCAATGTACAAATGTATCACGAATGGGAAAACTAAGGGAACGGCATTATTTTCAATGTTCTACGTCTAATATAAATCATGTCAACATGGTAGTATTCACAGAACTGCATGGAAAACTAAATGTAATAACAAGGTGAAATTGCTTCATGACTGTGTTGAACATTAAGGTTTCTGATATATGTGGAAGTGCTGGAATTATCCATCAACTAAGGATTTTTTTTTACACAACTGTTAGCTTGACTTTTGAGGCACAAAATACAACTTTATAAAAATGGTTTCGTACAATATTTACAACACTGCGTGCGATGTAAACTGAGGTATATAAAATTATAGAAAATGCAATGGAATTCATTACCAAATTGTCCTACCAAAAGCTAAAACGTGTCCTCTTTAAAATGAGTAATGGATGGTGCTCCTAAACATTGGTGGCTCTAAGTGGTGAAAATTAATTCCTTGTAGCAGGAGCACAATGATCCAATACTCTTTACGAAAGGAGATTTATTCATGGTCATTACACATTATTGAGTACTCATTTAAATGTTACATTTAATTTACTCTTTCGTTTCAGTCACGTGTCACCAATGATTATGGGTTAATGCCTACAACACCACAATAACATTGTCCAACCTTTTCACTTCCACATACATCAAGCGGTTCCTACAGACCTGAATTACGAGACGTAATATTTCAAACACGTTGCAGCAAGATATTCAAAAGCAATGTCATTGCTTGCTCATTGTTTACTAAAGAAAACGTCCATATAAAAATGTTCAAACATCGTGAATAGCATGTAACAAATACAAAACATACAAAGTTGAGCATACATCGTTAATTTGTTTTCGTAAAAAAAATATTTTTACAAATTAAAAGACGATTTTAGGAGCGATTTGAGGTCTTAAAACGTTCCCATAACATTAGCACACGATTCATTTGCCAAGACCAAGAGATCTACAGAAGCATATCATTAAAGTTTCGATCAAACCACAGTAGGCCTACCTCGACAAAGAGGACAGTGGTTGAGCATGTCTTTGGGTGACGATCCCAACTACTGTAGTTTATTAAATAATAAGTCCTTTAATTAAGCCAAGCTGCCGAGCCTCAAGAGCAGCAGGAGGGTCTAGCTTGGAATGTTTGGCCAATTCCTCAACTACTTATGGATGTGGAATAAACAAAAGTACTTGAATAAACAAAGTATGTAACTAATTGAGTGCTCTTCTTGGTTCTTTCGGTAAAATCACGTAGAAGGGAAATAATAAACATAATAAAATATTTCTCACGACGTTTCGGCCACAACGGCTGCTTGCGTTGTGGCCGAAATGTCGTGAGAATTATTGTATTGTTTTATTTTTATTATTTTATTATTTCCCTTCTACGTGACTTTACCGAAAGAACCAAGAAGATGAATCCCTGCAGTCACGAAAGCTTTAAATCGAAATTTAATTGAGTGCTTCCACAGATTTCTATTGGCCCAAGCATTGGCACAGATACCCGATTGTGCCAGTATGCACATTCCTACAGCAGCGCGAGCGTACGCATCTCAATGTGCATGTGTACCCCTGTGCGCCGATGCTCATCCCCAACACAGCTGAGCTCCAGCCCTCCATTGCATGACAACCACACGGTCAGTCTGGTTCACAGGTGTACGATGTGGCTGGTTTCGCCAGTGACGCAGGACAGTGGCGCTGCGCCTTATGCAGGCGCTGCCCTCACTGCACCTGCGTGACTATGACATCGGCGTTCGTGACAGCGGTGAGAATGTCACTGGAGAGCAGAGGTGCTGAGCTCTCCATGTGGTCCTCCTTGACGGTGCCCTGCGGTGACAAAACGCAGGGTGCGCTTGAACGGCAGCACCACAGGTGAGCGATTGTAGGAGCAAAATCACCGCATCCTGTGATGCGGCAATACATAACATGCTGTGAAAAATATAATCAATCATTTATCCAGGAAAGTAGACATTCCACCCCTCCTTTATTTAACTCTATTACAATTCGAGTTTCAATTACACTCAATTTAAAGTTGTTTTGCGTTGTACTTCAAGTCTAATATATTGGGGTGTTTCAGTAAGTGACGAGACTTTAAATAACTCATGATTTCAGTAAAAAAATTTGAGTGCAATGGAGCATGACTATGGTATTAATGTGCACATGATTAAATTTGGTGGCGCCTCTGCACAAATACAAGGGATCTGTATAAAATAATACAACTTCGATATAGCGAAAAGGTAGTCAACATGATTTACTTATTAAAAGACCGTATGTATTGATATTAATCGATATAATTAACAGTTGATCCTTCAACTCAATTTGAGGATTTATATATGTTATCTTGAGCATACGAATGTCTTGTTTTAATCGATGAATGCAGAAAAACTTGTAGAGAGATGCATTCTACATTACCCAGAGCCATTGGAGGAGATCAAAAGTGAGAATATGTATATATAGCACACCCATATCACATCATGTAGCTCTCAAGGGAATTAAATGCACTGCAAAGAAAATATTAATCAATTGTTGAAATACCATTTTCTTATACAATATAGGTGTCCCTCGATTTGCAAACGGGATGCGATCTTAAAAAAAACACGCGCAAAATGAAATTTCGTAGATCGGAATGGCTTTCCCCATTAATTAAAAACTAACAAAAAATACACATGTGTTTTGGACAGTCTACCTCCTAACATAAAACTATACACTTAATATCACTTTTTCTAATACAAAAAAATAATAAACATATTAAGCCGAGTGAATAATTAAAAACTAAAATTTTCCTTTTTCAGGCAACTCGCCAAAATAACCGCATGGTGGAATGAGTGTAAAGACGACGTTGAGGCAATTACTGTTGCACTGCGGGGGTACCGTGACGCTGCTGTGGATGGATGATGCAGCCTCCTCCCGAGGTGGCTCTCGTTTGATCTCATGGCGGGTGCCGTGTGAGATTTTTATCCCGTGGAAATTCGATTTGTTAATTGAAAAAGGTTCATAATTTGTCAATTGTGTGAATGCGACATTTCATAAGCGGAACATCCTTAAATCGAGGGATACCTGTGTGATTATTTTAATTTATTGTAACATTTCAGGAGCCTCCTGTATTGGGGATGTTTTGCTAATTCCTTGATTTACAATTTTACAAGTGAAGATACGACAATCTGGAGAAAACCACACGCATTCGGAAATACAGTTGAACAATTTCATCGGCCTCATTGCTGTACCAATATGCACATATGTGTGCCCTCCACCAACCCTCAACACTGGATTACTGGTGTGCACCACCACCACGCCAAGACAAATTACACTCCATTTTATCTGACCATAAACAACCGGCCAGATTTAAGGATTAGTCTAAAAATAGAAGCCATTGTTAGGGTCATGTCAGCTATAGTGACTATAATCAGTCATGGCCAACCTCTAAACAATGTCATTTTTGTGTGACACTATCGATTCCCCGATTGCTAGAAGCCATGACCGTCACAAGGGCAAGTGTCTTTTAAACGAGGAGAGGGATGAGAATGTCTGATATTTGGTCACAACGAAGCATCTTCCAACCACAATAGCCACAGCTAGCCACCAACTCTTTGGCTTTCAAAACAGACACAATTGAGACACCAATAGCCGATCATAATTGGAGTAAAATAGAAATCCAAGTGGCTCTCTGTTCAAGTGACCTCATGGCCAGTCCAATTTCCACCACTGGCGCTGACCCAGTGTTTGAAATCCCATATTCTCATTCTGAGGGGGTTAGCCTATCCATGCATTGTAATTTCGTCGATTGTCTACAAAGTAGTACTAACTTGATTATTCCTGCATGGATGCTGGATCGAGTACATGAACATCCAGAAATTTAATGTACAGTATATCTGATTGGGCCTCAAGCAGATGTTCTTCATACATATCGATAAGGAAGTGTGAATAACATCCTCAATGATGACAGATTACATTTTATAATTGCTATTTTGGTGCCAAGTCCCAAACTAAAAAAATCACAAATGCTGCGGGAGCACTGCTGACCCCCCATCTACAAATTCAATACAGGTTGATTTGAGTTTACAAATCTGCACTGAGACTCGCTGCTGAAGTCGCCTATTCTATAGCACTTGCATTGTAAAAACTCATTGTTATATGCATTACCACCACCCTGACCAATAGAAGTCGTGCAGATCTCATGACATTTTTATTTGTATTACACATTATTTAGCCCTTGTAGACAGTGTAGTGTCAATGCAACATACACCTCAAATGGCTCTAACCAGTGTGATGATATAATACAATTAATAGTAAGTTGTACACAGTTATTTGCATAATTCTAATCTGAACTTGTTGCAGGAGCTGTGCTGAGAATAGTAATGATATCTCAAGATGACAAATCGGAACTGTGTTACTAATTGGCGGTTCTGGAACACACCATCTTGAAGTGGTCTCATGTTTGTACTGGAATCACACCAGCTATTCATTTATGGCCGAGCTGACTTAGGGGAGGCCGAGGACCCATTCATATAATTACCAATGATGTTCGCCCTGTCCGGGGAATGGAACTCAGGTTGCTGGGTGTGTAGGGCAGTGTGCAAACACCTGTAATTTCATTGCTCCATCTCTTCTTGGTGCTCATCCTCTTGGAATGCGTTCCCAAGCAATGCCAAATGTAGTGCTCGAGAACGGCGCATGGAAGCAGACATCACAGATCTACCACTGAGATCAATTTCATTGACTTGTTCCACACAAAGGGAATTTAGCTCTATCACGGAGTGCAAAGTCTGTTTCATGAGTCTCAAACCAATACTTTAAATTCTCAGCAAAGCTATTTATCCAATTTAAGTGCGAATCAAAATGTAATGTGTTTTTTTGTGCAATCGTTGGTTGACCAGGCTGAGGCCATCAACCCACTACCACTAGATAATCTAATCTAAGCACATGCTTGGATTAAAACCCCAGGATCTTCTCAGTAGTACCAGCTCACTCCTCTCACCCCTGAATCAACTGACCACTTAAGTAATGCTGCAATTTTAAATTATTCAGTTCAAGTGTCATAACAATACATGGATATAAACAATTGATTCAACAACCACTTTGCATTGGTATTCAATTTGCTTCTTAAAGGAGCATAGAGCCCTAATTGATGTTGATGGAGTGATGAATGTGGACAATGGGCAGAGATTGCAAGCGCATAGCCTAGTGCATCTAATCTAAAGCGAAAGGAAGGAGATACTGTACCTTTTAAAGCATGTGTCTAGCCTACCTTTAGCACTGCTAGCACTCATAGCCATTCTGTTGGACAAATAAAGCAGACGATGCATTACACACGGGAAAGCAGCTCAAATGGTGACAAAAAGAATGCAAAGCGTATGAGTCAAGCATTGTGGAAGTTGCGCTTTGTAAGGTTTAGGAAAGTAGCAAAGCAAATGTAAGGCCATAGATGAATATATTACTTTGTGTAACCATGCAATTTGACTGATTTCTCAATACAGCCAGATGATGATGATGTGGTCAATGCATTCTATTCCAAACCAGAAGCCTGGGAGTTAACCCATCTCTGCAGGATTGAGAAAACGAATACAACTTCATTATAAGCCAACTGTGGTTGTGCTACGGAGAGAATGGTCTCCACCATAGGAATGTGGAATTTACAGTTGGATCATAGCTGCCAACATAAAAACGAGGACTGCCTCATTTGTTTTGGAGGAAAGTCACTTTGAACGTGATCTCTTAACTGCCATTGAGTTGCATCTGAAACCATGCAAAGAACTGCGCAGTCAGGTTTTAATCAACAGTTACACAGGATAGAAATGTCTGCCACCGCACAGACGACAAATTGATCCTCCCTGATTACAACCTTCTTCAGTGACAAAGTCACCCCTAGGGATCTACGGGGATTTGGCAGTGCTCCATCAGACAAGGTGAATCTATTTCAGTAAAGCTGAAAATCCGTTTCAGTCACACTTCTAATGTACCCAGACAAGTCTACACCGTTGCTTGGGAAAATAGACCCATCTGGAAAATGTACCCGATATTAAATCTGCCTTTTGAGAGTCTGAGCAGGCAATTAAAACGGTGTTAAGCTCTGTACGATAATTTGAATAAGTTTGGGAAGGCTGGAATATATACAGACCCACCTGTATATATAGCTCATTAACAGTAGCAATTGTGAATCACTCATACAATTTAACTCCCAACTTTAACACAATTTAAAAATGAATGGTCAATTGAAAATAATCCTTTAGTATGTAATATGGAGATTTGATCACGAGACCAGGAGAGCAGGTTTTTTTACTCCAATAATTTTAATTATTCCATCAGACCTTCAAATGTATTTCCTTGGCTAAAACTGAAGCTACAGATTTAAATGTGGGCAAGAGTTTCACACCATGTCAATTTTCCAACGTGAAATATGCAACACAATTTGTACGTAAAATATATGTAAATTGGACCCTGTTAATTTTATTGTGATTAAATGTCACACAAGCATGGAATTATGCAGGATGTTACCAACGAAATGACAACTTTTATAGACACAGACGTCAACATTTGAAAACTATAGGGCAAGAATTAAATGCCGAGATAAAACGGTTCTTTGAAATTCCATAAATCTACACTATAGCATTGATATTGATCTGCAAGCTATAATAGTGCGTTAATATTTGTGAAGCAAACCGCAATCTTTTTGAACAAAACTTGAATGAACTGCAAATTACACATTGCAAGATGTAGGTTTAGGGCTGAAGGCAGATAACATGTGCACTATGCGTGATACGCATTAAGGAATTGAATTTTTTTCATCTTAGTATTAATATGGATCTGCATGGTTTGAATTTCATTTTAACAAAACTAACCATAATTTCAGGCGTCAAGCACATTTAGTAATGCAACGGCACTTTGTGCCATGCCTAGAAGGGATTTAGCAAATTAAAAAAGATACATCGATGTTTTTTGTATATTTAGTGAGTCCAACTGAGTCGCAGATATTATTCTTTAGAGGCAACACATTTATTTAACATCAAGACGTTAACACAAAGGGGTAACTGCCCCTTTACCAGATACAGCCAATATGTAGGAGTTACAGCTACGAAGGGTCAGACCCTTACTCGGGTCCCCGACCACGTGTTCATGCCTCGTAAGACGTAGAGCTTCCAACTTGTAGACGTGGAGCTTCCAGCTTGTAGACGTAGAGCTTCCAGCTTGTAGACATAGAGCTTCCAGCTTGTCAAATGCAGCCACCCCGGTCCCTCTCAGGGACCCACCTTATATCCTCCCAGGTCGGGGCCGCTCCGCCCTCGGCCCCGCCCGCCTTCTCGAGTGTTCTAGCTCCCTCTCGATCCCCCTCGAGAGCTCCCCCTGGACACGTGATCACCCCCTAGCCCCCCACCTGGGGCCTTCTCTGTGGACACTCCGGATCACGTGCCTACGGGGTCAACCAGAGTGCCATGGCCCGGGGCAACCCTGCCCCTGGGCTGACACTCTCCCGCTCCCCCTTGTGGGAGCCCGCACTACACGCTATGTGTGGTGCCCTCGCTATCCCAGCGCTCCCCAAGCCCCGCTAGGGCTGGTACTACACCCGCCTATGGGGTGTACGTGATGACGGTGCATCGCACGCCGTGCTATGCTAAAACCGGCATCACACAGCAACCCACCCGGTGCTGTCCGCGATGTAGGGACATCGCACGCCACGGCCCTCCCGGGCCGGCACCATACAGTGACATCCCCGATGTCACTACATCACCCCCCCTTCCTAGCATTCAGCCATCCCGGCTGTCAACTCCCCCTCCAAGCGAATAGGTAAGTGAAATGCAAGAAAAAAACGTGTGCCTCAACAATAACAGGAACAGAAATAAATACCCAAACCCACCTGTATAAAAATTACACTATCCACAAATGTACAAACCAACCAGGGAGAAGGGTGTAAACCAACGAACCCATAACAATAACACATCAACAAGCAAAAGAAATGTGTGAAACCTCGGGATCCCCCTCTACCACCACACCTCCCACCTTCACTGTGTAACAACGCTCGTGAGCTCAATGGCGGCTAGGATCAGCCAATAACCGCCACAACTCAACGAGCGCGACAAACAACAGTCCGTGAGGCCGGGCCCCCAGGGGAGGTGGGCTCCCTCACCCTGGAGGTCCCGGGGGGAATGTGCCCAACTCCTCACGGAGAGCAGTAGGCCGGGTCGACGGATCCTCTGCGCTCGAAGCCTGCGGAAACGGCATGCGCGGCCGCTCGGGAGATGTCAGTCGCGCAGCACCTGGGGGCGGAATAGAATCGCCCCGCTGAAGACCAAACTCAGCGGGCACACACCCCGGCTTGGCAGACACACTCGACACACGGCCCCTGCGATGTGGAGATGAAACGAATTCGCGTGGTGCGATAAGCGGTTTCAGGCGATAGGGATGCACGAACCAACTCCACCGACCCTCTGTAGCGCCCAAATCGAGCGGCTTCCTTAGGCAGAGCGCCTGCATTGTAGCGTTAGCCGCACACAAGCGGGTGAGGGAAGGCCAAAATGTCAAACGACAGCCGGATGGCAATTCCAAACGGCCCCGGTCAATGCGGATTTCCAAAGGCATTCTACCAAGGAAATCAGTTCCAAGTAAACATGGAACAGCCAGGGACGTGACGATAAGAATGTGTCCCGACAATTTAACGTCAGCGACGCGCACCTCGGCCGTTATCCGACCGATGATACCCAATGAGCTGCCGTTAGCGGTGAAACACGATGCATCAACAGGGTCTAGAACCCGACACTTAGGAGGCAAAATATCTGAGATAGTTGCCGACGCACCCGTGCCGACTAGCATCCTTATTCCCACACCCTCAATGAACCTGAGCACGGCAGATGAACCCGCGGCCGCAGCCACCACTCGATGGGCCAGCTCCGACCACTGATCCGGTCGGAGCTGACGAACTCCCCGATTACGCAGAGGACCCCCCCATACTGATGACGCAAACGGAAACGTTTAGATGGGTGAGGTGAGGCCAGGGGTCGAGTGTGGAGTGCGTGGCGACTCGCCTTAGTGTGTAGGGAAGCGTAGGATGTCGGTGATGCTGGGAGGCGCTGTCATGGTACGCGGCAGCCCGATGACACGTGTCCCAGCAGGCCGCAATTGTAGCAGGTAACAAGGCCGCCTCCGGAACGAGACGACGACCTTGGCCGCGGCTGCTCGTCCGTCCGCCACGCGCCATCGTCACGCCGGTCGCCTCCACCCCGAGTCGACGCGCATGCCAAAAGGGGCTCCGCTCCATCAGGTGGTCCCGGCTCCGTGCGGGACACGGCACACGTCACCTGCGCCCTGTCCCGTTGTAGAAGTTGCTGGGCTTGGATGCACTTAGTGACCTTGAGAGACGAGATGTCATCATCTTCGGCTGAAAGAATGGTGGGGAAGGTTTTCGCCAAGGCCAGCAGTATCTCTATGACAAACGCGTCGAACCCATCGTGGTCCATTTTCGGGAAGGCGGCTTTCGCAAGCGCCAAAAGCGCGCTACGGAAGGCGAGGGCAGACTCGGTTCCCCCCTTCCGCCGCGTGGCGAACCTGTGGTGCGTGTCTGCCGGAGGCTCATAGATAGCTGCCCTCTGGTCGCCACTGGTAGTCGCAAACACTTTAATAAAGGGAAGACGACGACGGAGAGCCGGGATGTCCCTCGGCGCCGATGGCGCGTCTTCAATTTTGGCGGGCTGTGCGCTCTGCGCCGGCGACAAAATGGCGGCTGAATGCGCGGCCGAGTTTCCCGCCTGCTGCGAAATGGCAGCGGAGTTGTCGTTCGCGAGCGGCATTGCGGCTCCCTCCTTCACCAGCGAGACCATGGGAATGATCTCCGTGAGAAGCAAAGCTGCAGCATGGAGGAGCTCAGCGAGGCGACCGTGCGCCTCCCGGAGGGTCGCCTCTGCTGACGGCGAAGCGTCGAGCGTCCAGATGGTGCCCTGCTCCGCTGGCAGCGTCTTTTCCGCATCCTCTGGAGCTGTAGGCGGCGCGAGGTCCTTGTCCTCGCTGTCCGACGTCCTGTTACGTGGTCTGTGATGTGTAGACATAGTCTACTGCTAGCTGTATAGACTAGCGTGTTGGCCACTTCCGTCACCAGTTGGAGTGAGTCCAACTGAGTCGCAGACGTTTTTCTTTAGAGGCAACACATTTATTTAACATCAACACGTTAACAAAAAAAGGGGTAACTGCCCCTTTACCAGATACAGCCTAGGGTGGTGACCACCCAGCTAACTACACTATAGGTAGGAGTTACAGCTACGTATTGATGCTTCGTAGGACGTAGAGCTTCCAGCTTGTAGACGTAGAGGTTCCAGCTTGTCGAATTCAGCGACCCCGGTCCCTCTCAGGGACCCACCTTATATCCTCCCGGGTCAAGGCCGCAAAGCCCTCGGCCCTGTCCGCCGTCGAGTGTTCTAGCTCCCTTTCGATCCCCCTCGAGAGCTCTCCCTGGACTACGTGATCTCCCCCTAGCCCCCCTACCTGGGGCCTTCTCTGTGGACACTCCAGATCACGTGCCTACAGGGTCAACTAGAATGCTATGGCCCGGGGCAACCCTGCCCCTGGGCTGACACTCTCCCGCTCCCCCTTGTGGGAACCTGCACTACGCGCTATGCGTGGTGCCCATGCTATTCCAGCGCTCACCAAGCCCCGCTAGGGCTGGTACTACAATCGCCTACGGGGTGTACGCGATGACGGTGCATCGCACTCCGTGCTATGCTAAAGCCGACATCACACAGTAGCCTACCCGGTGCTGTCCCCGATGTAGGAACATCGCACGCCACGGCCCTCCCGGGCCGGCACCATACAGTGACATCCCTGATGTCCCTACATATACAATAGATTCTGATATAATAAAACAGTGGTTTGGTACTGGCCCGACTCTTGCATACCTTACCACACATTTGCCAAAGTCACATAGCCAAAATCGCAATTCCCTTGTGGAATCCCACACTTGTAAAGTAATGATGAAAACAATGTTTTGACCTCCGACGAACATGATTGGCAATGTATGGTGTGAAAAAAAGTTGAATATACATACGTTTATAGGGGGAAATGTATCATCCTGTACCAATGCACAAAAGAAATTTGGAATATATAAGTTACCACTTCAAAGGAGAGATAAAACATTTTTAAGGTGAGTTGTTATTTTTTTGCCCATTTATGATTTACTTGATACTTCGCTGTGAGCGCTATAGTGGAAAATGCAATACAAATGTATTCATAATGAGCACACATTTTTCAAGGAAGAGTTTGTGTGATGTCTTCCCTGAACAAACATTTCTACATTTTCCTTGTATGGATCTGTACACAGAAAATTATGATAATATTGATCAACAATCGTCTTTTTTGTCAAGATGGCCTCTTCCCTTAGTCGTCCAATCGACCCACTTCAACACTCAAGACTCACAAGCAAGTGATGAAATATTCAATGAAACAAGCCACCAGATACTAATAGAGCGGACTTAAATGTAAAAAAAAAAATTCTTTTTTAATTGGCCTCATGGAGAACAATCTATTAAAAACACCCTTAAAGTCATTTTTTTTCTCTCCCAATTTTGTATCCAAACCAGATCACATTTCACCTATAATTGACTTTAACATGTGTAATGAGAGAGCGCCATCTATTGGTTGCTAAAGGGTAACTCGGTAGGCACAATTATGTAACACCATCCGATCCTAAGAGGGAACAGCATCTGGGCCAAAGGTGATGGGCGGAGTCGGGAGAGATGCTTCGGGAACCATTGAGAAGATTCCATGAGAGGGCGTGGCCAGAAGCAGAGCCTAGCCGTGCCCGAGGAAATATAAGCAGGGGCAGAAGAGGACTCGTGGTCGGTGTGGGAGGCCTTGGGTCTGAACTACGTCGCTGCTCGTCGTATTCTCTCTTCGCCAACCGACCACGTGGCGGATCCCTAGCGGAGCTCGCCTGATGTTACCATATCGATCCACTAATGAATTGTTCACTCTTCATAGTGAAGGCAAACTTTAAAGCAGCTAAGGTTTTATCTGGTAGCTAAGGTTACCTTTTACCAGGTACAACCTTAGTTGCTTCATAGTTTGCCTTCATCTCCGCATCTCCAGTTTCTTTAGCATCTTACGCCCAGCCCCGCTCATTCCCATTGCTAGTAAATTTGCCGTGCCTTGACCTCGTCGAGCCTGCAGGGCTCCTCCCCCCTCTCTCATCTATATAACCTCTTGTTACAAGCAGCTCTTTTGCCTACTTCAGCAATTGTTTCTTGCTGTGGTTGTCCCACCTGATGACGAACGCTTGTGTTGCGTCCGAAATGTCGTGATTTAATTTATTTTATCTTTTCTGCTCAAATGATTTTTCCGCGGAATTTGAAAAACGCGCCCTGCTCCTAAACAGATATTTAACAATGTCCGATGTTATCTTAAACGGTGTCCATTTTTATATTAAAGTTTATGCAGTAAGTACAGTGTTTAACAATGTCCGTCAATTTTTGGGCGCAGAATCGATGTTATGGATTGCAATTTGCGATCCAAAACACCTAAAATACGTCAGCTTTGACGCAACAAAACCATGTATGGGCAAAGACACGCCTACTTCCAAGTGTACGCTTTTATTTAATGTCAGCTTTGATCGTATTATAGCGCCACGTCCTTTAAATCTTCCAGTTTTAAACAACAGCTTTTTTAGTCTGGTAAGTAGACAATGACTGATGTACCAAAATGGCGAAATGTTAACTACCTTACTCTTAGTTCTTTCGGTAAAGTCACGTAGGTAAAAAATGCTGCAAATCTGGCTGTGACGGTCCCACCTGATGACGGAGACTTGTGTTGCCTCCGAAACGTCATGATTTTTTTTATTGTTTTATTTTTATTAATTTTAATTTTTTACCTACGTGACTTTACCAAAAGAACTAAGAGTATGAATCCTTGCAGTCACGAAAGCTTCAAATCTAGAGTTAACTACCTTGCCTGGTATACGGGAGGTTGTGGGTTCGATCCCGACCCTAAAGCCTTTATATTGGGGGCTTGCATGTTCTCCCTGTGGTCATGTGGATTTTTATCCGGATCCTTCGGTTTTTCCCTCCACATTTAGAAACATGCGTTTAGGAGTATTTTGCTTTATAGCTCATCGGATTCCTTTAGTATAAATGAATATTCTAATTTTTATTTGTGGCCAGCTTGCTTCTGGAAAAGAGCTATAGTGGTCAGTGGGCCTTACCTGGTCAAATTAAAAATAGTTAGTAGACTGACTGCCACATGGTAGTCAAGGCATAAATGAGAATCATGAGAATACAATGTCTGAAAATGTGTACTTAAATCCATATTTATAGAAATAAGCAGACTGAGACTTAAAAATCCCTCAATTTGTAATAGCTGCCTGGTTGAATTGTGGCCATTTTCCGTACTTTTCATAAGATTTATTTTCCAGGAATTTCCATGACCGTGGAACCATGACAATGTGATGATCTTACAGTGTATGTGCTTCCCGATGACATAATTACGTGCGACATCATCACACAATGCGTGGATGCCACGTGGAATCATCAGTTTGGCCACAAATGCTTTCTACTTAAGACAAAACATTATTTATCACCGAGCTTTGGGAATCCCTCTAATCAAGTTGGCCAGTTTTCAATATGATAAGTCCTTAACAGTAATACAACTTGACATTGAAGCTTAATTTATATTGTATCATCTTCATTATGATAAAAAAAAAATTACAATTCAAACTAGAAGAATGTTTGCAGGACAGCAGAGCATGAGAGGTGCTAATAACCAGGACTTACATTTTCGTTTTCATTCTCCTTGTCGCCTAACGTGTGGAAGCGCCCTCCTTCCCCACGTTGCCTCTGCATGGCGTGCCGATGACGAGATTCGTGCAGGTATTTCTGTGCAAAATGAAAGTGTTATACATGAGTATATGAGTGCGTGTGTGTCTCCCTGCTCACACGATGGAGATGTGATCATCTCCAATGCCAGCCCTGAGCCAGTGGTATAATTTTCACACTCACATGGCAACAACATTGACTTCACATAAAGCAGCACTTGTTTAATTGGAAAAAATGTGAAAGATTTTTTTATACATTTATTGGTATTTTTACTTTCATCATTTTTTTCATAGCTTAATAAAAATGTATCTCTTAGAGATCTTTAAACTGACACCACTCACCTTTTTCAAAAACCTGGCAGGTCACAAACTTGTCTTGTTGGGTCAAACTTCAGTAGCCTATACGGCAAATTATAATTACCTAAAATGGGTGGTAGCCATCTTTTTCAAATATACAGTTGTTCACCAAATGTTATTGAAATTGGGTTTAGTCAAATATATTGATTTGGTATGGAATGACCCAACACAAGTTCAACATGCATACATAAACGAATTTCTTGGGAAGTGCTTGTTGTATTTAGTTTGATGTCCTTCCCCCGCACCTCCGATTAGCACGGTTGGCTGCATACGGTGCAAAAGAAGTTCAACATACATACAACAGTAGGATGTCCTGACAATTTAATGCTATATTGTATTCCTGGGTAGTGCAGTGCACAACCTACAAGTGGAAAGTTGTAAGTTCAAATCAGGTTCTGTGGTTGACTTTTTTCATCATCCCTCCAGGGTTAATAAAATCAGTACCATTTTAGTGGGAGGTCATTTTTCGATTTAAAGCTTTCGTGACTGCAGGGATTCATCTTCTTGGTTCTTTCGGTAAAGTCACGTAGAAGGGAAGTAATAAAATAATAAAAATAAAACATAATAAAACAATTCTCACGACGTTTCGGCCACCTGAGGACGGCTGCTTGCGTTGTGGCCGAAACGTCGTGAGAATTGTTTTATTATGTTTTATTTTTATTATTGTATTACTTCCCTTCTACGTGACTTTACCGAAAGAACCAAGAAGATGGGAGGTCATTGTTGCACATCCTACCTAGATAATGTTTGTCTTGGCTCTATCGAGACTAATATAATATAATTAGGATAAAAACAGTTAAAGCAAAACATAGACTGCCCACCTTGCGCTCCTTGGGAATTCTGCCCTCTGCCTCGAGCTTGGCGCGAGCCTGCCTGCGCTTCAAGATGCGGTGGTACTGCTTCGCGTTAACGTAGAGGGGCTCCTCCTCCAGCAGCTCAGCGCTCGGGAGGGGGATACGGTGGGCGACCTGTGGCACCTGTCCCGTTGCTCCCGGTACCACTTGCTGAGACACGCACACATGAGCCCAGGCATTTACACATCAGAAGAGGAGTCGGACAAGTTGATACACTCTTACCAAGACTCACTTTTATCTTCTACCAAGGCTGACTTAGAATTCGTTTTTTTATGCAATCACATACAAAGATCCCCCGCATAGGCTTAACAGACTGTTGGGGCAAGTGCTGTTTTCGGGCAGTTATGAAGGCCGGCACGGTAGCGCAGCGCGCTAACCGCTACACTATCACTCCCTAATCAGATACACACACACACAAATATGCAAGGATGACTATACACCAGAAAACCGATGCACATGCACACACAAGAAAGCTCGTAAACACATTCAACACTTGCAGGCACACAAGCGAACAAACACATATGAACATACATACAAATGAAGATACATGACTACACACAAACACATGTGCACAGCAACAGTCCTGGTTGGATAAAAGCATTATGACTCTGCCCATCTATTATTCATTTTGTCCTTGAGATTCATTATCTATTTTGAAAATGAGACCTGGTTTACAGAGTTACACAGTAAAAGTCATGAGTTTCTTTTCACGTAAATTCCATGATAAAATTGATGGAAGAAAAAGACAAATGAATAGTCAGCTCTGTGAAAATGTTTCTGCCGATTAGCAACCACCATGCCTGGCAGGGAGAACTAAAGCTTTTACATTCTTTGAAAAAACTCTCAAAACCAGTATTTCAGCAGGTAGTTTTTATAATGTTTGCTTAATTCGTTGAGTGTTTTTGTGTGTTGACATAAATGGTTGAAAGCAGAAGCAGCCTATGCAAAACGAGATAACACTACAACAATCTTGATGCAAAGGTCAATTTAAACTACTTGTTATAGTGTCATCTACTGCCCACCTCATAGCCATGCAGGATGGGTAAAAGTTAAAAGTGCAGCTTAGAAATGTTTTGCTGACGCCACTGCTGGCAGAACGGCTTCCACTTGTAGCTCTTGAAATCCCCTCTGCAAAGTGTTTGGTCTACTCTTCTATGCTGAGCAGACAATTTGTAAGAGGTGCGATTACCTCCAATTTAGGCCACGACACGCGATCTTCCGATAAACTGTGGTCTACCCACTTCACGTTTAGTGGCAAAGAGGATGGGCGTCACACAACATAAAATTAGCGCAATCCCCCAACACTACCTTCGTATGTGCTCAATTACAAGCATGCGCCCCACCATGCTTGGGTAAACGACATGCTCAGTGCTGTTGCCATGACTGTCGCTGTGTGCCCATGCATTGCGTGCCGTGTAACCGCACCATGACCATGCCTCCAGCGTTGACGACGTTTCCAGACACGGGCAAGGTGACGGTGATGGCCTGATTGTTGGTGCTCGTGGACACTGGGCTGCCCCCCGCCTGCATGATCTGGGCACCGGCCAGGCTGGACGCCGGGATGGTGATCACACCTGTAACGGGTACTGCCACTTTAGCGACACCACAAAGTGTAACAATCCAAAATAAACCAAAAAAACCCCAGGCAACGATTAACCCGATGAAGGTGCAAAGAAACAGATGTAAATGGGAATAATTACAAGAGACAGTCAAGCACATAAAACAGGTCAGGGGACAAACAAGGACAAAGATTAGAACATTTATACGTACGGCCAGAGCTGTTTAAGATTTTCTGAAAAAGTACTTCCATCAAGTGAAATAATATGTTGAAATGCAAAGGTTAATAACAGCCACAGCAATAAACCAGATGCAGAAAATTTATATTCGCACATATTAAAACTGTGGTGAATCTGACTGAAAATCAAATGAGCTGTTTTTAATCAGCATAAGCTACTTCAATTACTCATATATTTATGCCAATAAGTATTTTGTCCTGCCATTTCCCCACTGCCATTTTTTTGTGAGTGGTACACTTTCTCAAAAAGTGAAGAAATTTAATAAAACATTTACTGGAGTGGTTATGCAAAGGGTTTTCATTACAAATCAAGACTATCTGCTCCTCAAAAAAACATATTTTACTCAAATTACATCGAAAAGTACCATCACTAGCTATAAATTATGGTGAATTATTGATGTGTGATGAGGAGGATGTAATTACAGCAAGTTCTCCTGAAGGTATTCACTCACAAAAAAACAACTTTTATCACCATCTGCCAAGGCCCTGACTTTAACATATAACTTCTTATATTGCATGTTTTACAAAATAAATGGGGAGCACTTTAATATGGTAAGCAAATTACTTTGATAAACTAATTAAAATTACGCAATTCCTTATCATGACGTGGCAGACTGGAGCTAGAACTATGAAAACATTAATACTGAAAAGAGATTTAATTATTTATCAATGGTGCATTGTCCTTATTAAAATTATACAGGAGAAAAGTTCATATTTAAATTGAATTAATATAGTAGCATGTTCGTAAAGTGCCTAACAATATCGAACAAAACGATACTTTTAGCAAGGTGGTGTTTGGATTTGTATTGACAGGATAACAGACATTCGCTGTTGACACCTGCTAACATTACAAAACATATAAAGTGGTGTTATTGTACTTACAAGTAACTTATTAGTGGTTCACTGCAGTGTAAAATGAAAATGTGCTCCATAATTATTTTTATGGAAGAGCAATGCACAGAAATGAGCAATTCCATCAATGATATAGGGTCATGGAGATGAACACTGGTTAATTGTTAATTTTAACCTTTTCCAATTCGGATGATGTACGTGCATTGATGAACGTGTATGTCATTAGTTTTTCTTTGGATTCCGTTCCGATGATGTATAATTAAATAAATTAACTTTATCGGTACAAAAGCTCCCACAAGGGCATGCGGGAGGATGTGTGGCACAATTTGGTGCCAGATATCATAGAGTGCAGGTCGTGTTGCTACAGTTCTGTAGTGAATACAATGTCTTTCAAAACAATGGTGCTATGCCTCTCTAAATAAAATAAACGTGAACCGCTCGCACTTTCCAAAATTCAGCGGTGAATGGGACCCACCTTGCAATTTGTAGAAGGCTCGGAACGGGAAAGGGTTAAGTGAGGAGACACTTATTACGGTAAATATACAGGGTGTCTAAAAAAAATGGACCCGATTTGAAATAGCTAGATCTCTGCAACCACAAACCACCCATGAATGAAACTCTTACCACTTGAAAGGGCGGGGCATAGAGAGGGCGGGGCATAGAGAGGGCAGGGCATAGAGAGGGCGGGGCATAGAGAGGGTGGGGCATAGAGAGAGGGTGGGGCATAGAGAGAGGGCGGGGCATAGAGAGAGGGCGGGGCATAGAGAGAGGGCGGGGCATAGAGAGAGGGCGGGGCATAGAGAGGGTGGGGCATAGAGAGGGTGGGGCATAGAGAGGGTGGGGCATAGAGAGGGCGGGGCATAGAGAGGGTGGGGCATAGAGAGGGTGGGGCATAGAGAGGGTGGGGCATAGAGAGAGGGCGGGGCATAGAGGAGGGTGGGGCATAGAGAGGGTGGGGCATAGAGAGGGTGGGGCATAGAGAGGGTGGGGCATAGAGAGGGCGGGGCATAGAGGAGGGTGGGGCATAGAGAGGAGGGTGGGGCATAGAGAGGGCGGGGCATAAAGAGGGCGGGGCATAGAGTTTCAAATGATTACCGCGAGATGCCTCTCCCAGCGCACAAACAGCCCCGAGCCTCAGTCATTCGCAAGACGTTGACCCCGCAACACACAAGGGGCGTTTTGCGTTCTGCAGTTGAGCAAGACTGAATCCGTAATTGCGGTGCAGCGTGCGTTTCAACAGCGTTTTCGCATTGATCCGCCAATGTCAAAGAGCATGGTGGCACAAAAGACTGTGTTTTTGTGCCACCATTAGCGACTAATCTGGATGACCTCAAAACAGAATCAGGGCTGCGGTGACTTCAGTGGAAGACACTTTGAAAAGCGTTTGGGACGAATTCAACTATCGTCTCGATGTTGTGCTACAGCAGGTGAAAGGCACATAGAGCATTTATAAAATGATTAGTAAAACTTGATAACTCATTAAACCCTTTGTAACTTTTTGTGTAACATGTTGCCATCGTGAAATATACTGCTTTGAAATTGGGTCCATCTTTTTGAAACACCCTGTATATTATATTTAATGCATATGAGAAATCTTAGGTATTTTTTCATGGTAGGTTAACAGGATATACGAGATTCTGAAAAAAGCTGCTTCATAATTCAGACGCAACAAAATCTTCCAGAACAATTAATAGGAAAGAATTGCATTCATCTTACCAATGAATATATGCACAGAAAAGCACATAAAAACTAATTGAACCACCTATAGCCCAGGTATCTATGCGTGAAGAGAACAAGTCTCAAAATGAGATAGCTAATAGTGTACAAGTACCTTGCTGCAGAATGGTGCCGTCAGCATTAACGGGTTGGTAGACAATGGTCTGCCCCTCCGCTGTTTGTGCCACTTGCTGGCCTTGCACTGTCACGGTCTGCTGTCCCTGTTACCAGTCAGGAAAAGAATGCATTGATTCTCCGTTTAATGCACAATTTGCATAGAATAATACTTTTCACTGTTATCTCCATTATAAAAATCTGAAGTAGCACCATCAATTATCAGGGACATAAGCAAGTAGTTGTAATTCAGCACCGGTGTATTCCTACCTGCGTCTGGCCAGCAGTGACAGCAGTCTGGGGCTGCTGGATGATGATTGGTTGATGTTGCCCTTGCTGCCCCTGTACCTGCAGGGTTTGCCCTCCGTGGATCTGTATCTGCCCCGGCTGCAGCAGCTGAATCTGGGAGGCAGTGAAGGCATTCACACTTGATGAAGGCACGCGCACACACACAATGCATCCGAAAGCAGCCACATGCACCAACATTCATTAAGTGGCTATGTAGCATAGAAAGCAATTCACAAAAATAAAGTTAACTGTCAAAATCTCAGTTGGGCATTGATTCATCATGACACTTAAAGGGATGATGAGTACTACTCTGTGGAAGTCAATAGTGGTTGCCCTATGGGTAAGACTCACTCCGACTGTGAGTCTGTGTCATTTCCACCACTAGCTCAAGGCTGCCAATGTAGATGAGCACTGCCCCACAGCCATACGCGTGATGATACACTGTGGGTTATGGTTCCATCAACAAGAATTTTGGTGTGCGTGCAGAAGCTAGTGTAGATACCTGCTGGATTCCTTGACCTCCAGACATAGGCAACTGCATAATGGTTTGGCCTTGTCCAGCCATGGCCTGCACCATGATTGGTTGCCCCGTGGATGTGATGAGTTGCCCTCCGCTCACCTGCACCATTAAAGGCTGACACACAAAGTATCACATTAATAAGTTCATTTGGTCTACAATAAACGGTGACATCCACACTGAAGTCTTTATCCAGTCAGTGTTAGCACCACTGTCACTCATCAGCTTAAATGAAAGGCTTACAAAAATTAAGATATAAAAGTATAACAATCAAAGATTCAAGTACGGAATGATCATATTTTAATTTGAACCTGTAGATGTTATTACATAAGTATTATAACACACCGAAAATATTATGTAAATATATTAATACACACAAAGATGGCCAAATACTTGTTTCGTTTCTTGCTGCAAAGCCATTCATGGCAATTAATAACACCAACACAAATCCTTGACATGCATCAAATAAACAAAAAGCAACATCACTACAGCATCTGGTTTGTGGGGATTTTTTCTCTCAAATTTGAGGTAAAGTATAAGTAACAAAAACAGGGTGGGGGGGGGGGGAACATCTATGAAAATGTGATTACAATAAAGTAAGTACGCTTATTTTTCATAGGAAAATCAATTGTTAGTCATAGTTAATCTCGCAGAACCCCAAAATTCAGAATGCTTTGCACAATCAATACCAAATACAAGCACTGTTCTTGCTATCCAAGCGGAACAAAAGGTACAGCAACACAGTTGTATTTATATATATTTAGGAGTTTCCAGGGTTTGGTCTCTCATGTCATGTTGGCTTTAAATTTGCTAACCCTTTTTCAGCTTTCAAATGTTATATTCATAAAATTTGTATCCCCCACACCAAACATATTTTCACTAGTATGTATGTGTTATTGTGTAAAAGTAAGATTTTTTCCAGTACTGCTAACCTTGGAAAAAGGTTTCTAAAAAGTAGCACGTACATCAGCGTGCTACATCTTGAGATGGTCTCATCTAAAATGTATTGTGTTGCATAATTTATATTACAGAGAAGAACACATTGACTTAATAAACAATGTTGCATAGTCAGAGCAAGAAAATTTAATCAAGTTAATATATTAAACTACTAATGTTTAAAAACAAAACATTTAATATACTTGCTGGTCAGTCTTTAATTGATGCTCATTACATAACACTAGTTAGTGGAAACCCTAAATATATATTCGTACGGTATTTCTACACAATGAAATGTTGAACTTGAAAAGCATAAAAGAGAATGGTTTAGTCAAAATGTTGTTCAGCTTTGAGCTGGGCACATTAAAGGCATTATAGTTGTGTAAGCATGCTGGTTAAAGTTAATTTGAACAAGTTTTGATACCGAAATATAAACTTACTGTCTTGAAATAGCATATTTTATCTATAAACGTTTTATAAAATATTCGCTTATTAAAATACAAGTAGATACATCTGCTCATTTGTACGAGGGAAACTTAACGACTGTATAAATACATTATCTATATATATAAAATCGTTCATGTCTGTCTGTCTGTGTGTGTGTGTGTGGACTTTGGCCCATACGCACTTTCATTGGACGGCGGTTGCCCCTGGCAACGGCTAGCCACGCCTTCGCCGCTTTCATTGGACCTGGCAACGGCTAGCCACGCCTTCGCCAAGGGCTGCAGTTTCATTGGACAGCGGTTGCCCCTGCCAACGGCTAGCCACGCCTTCGCCACTTTCATAAGCTCCGTATTTAATTAAATAATAGCCATTACACAGTATTGTTGGAGCGCTAGGGGGGGGGGAAGGAACGCCACCCGTACCCTGCCTCTTCCAAGCCGACAATTTTAGGCGAGGCCGCAGGCTTTGCACGCTACTAGGCCTCGACACCCACCACGCCACTCTGAGGTAAATTCATCAAAGTTTTTCCTACTCTTCACTACACCCCTACCACAATGTGTGCTATTAATATTACTTTTAAACCCAACGCGCCAACAATCGATTACTTTAATGTTCACTGTACAAATACTCATTAAGCTGGGTGAGCGTACTGCCAGTCTATCATGTACACTGTAGCCTGCTTATTAAGCTCGGTGAGCGTACTGCCACTCTATCATGTACACTCTAGCCTGCTTATGAAGCTGAGTGCGTGTACTGGCAGTCTATAATGTGGACTCTTGCCTGGTTATTATAATCGATTCTTTATATGTTCTTTGTACAAACAGTCATTAAGCTGCTTGAGCGACCCCAGTTCGATTCCAACTCACGCCCACCACCGCTGACGATTATTTGAAACGGACCTGGCCCTCCCCTAGGTCCACTCAGCCTCAAAAGCGTAACTGCTGTCGTGTGTGAACATCGTCACTGGGGAGACAAAGGCGGCGGGGCATCGTGGATTCAAGTCCCGGGCGAAGCCGGGTCATGTGTATGTGTGTTTGTGTTTATGTGTATGTCTGTGTGTCTCTATGTATGTGTGTATGTATGTGTATGTATGTGTTTGTGTGTATGTGTGTCTGTATGTATGTGGGTTTTTTTTATGTCTTTATGTGTATGTCTGCGTGTCTCTATGTATGTGTGTATGTACGTGTGTGCATGTGTTTGTGTGTATGTATGTGTGTGTCTATGTATGTGTGTGTATGTGTGTGTATGTATGTGTGTTATGTGTCTGTCTGTGTCTGCATGTATGTGTGTGTGTATTGTGTATGTGTTTGTGTGCATGTATGTGTGTGTTTGTGTGTATGTGTATGTCTGTGTGTATGTGTTTGTGTGTATGTGTGTGTATGTATGTGTGTGTGGCAAAACAACCTCCTACCTCCTCGCGGTGCCGGACGGGCAACACTGTCGTGGACATTGCTGTGGGGGGAGGGCCAATGCCCATTGGCCTCTCCCCTCATGGCGTCTGTGACCACCACAGTGGCTAAACGGGGGCTCTGGACGGGTGTGAGGGGCTGGTAACCCCTCCACCTTCAATTCATTACCACTAAACCACGAATTAAACATAAACCTGTAACAAATAAGCTTGTGCCGGAGGCCCCGGGGGGTCAGGCTTTTATGACGTCTCCTGGCCAAACCCCATTTGGCGGAGCCAGGAGATTGAATTTTCACCCTCGGGGCTCCTCCAGAAACAACAAAAAACCATTGCGGATGGCCACGTGGAATGTTCGAACGCTCACTGCGGAGGAGAGGCTGCCACTCCTCTGTCGGGAGCTGGACCGGTACCGCCTGGATCTCTGTGGCATTCAGGAGGTCCGGTGGACCGGTTCTGGCTCCTGCCACCATGAGGGGTGGACAGTCCTCTACTCGGGGCAGGAGACTGCCAAACAACAGGGTGTGGCTCTTCTTCTGAACAAAAGAATGAAGGGGGCGTGGGAGCGTGGCGGTGAGGTGTGGGAAGCTGTAAGCCCCAGGCTACTTTGGGCTCGCCTTCCCATCAACCAGAGGCGAGGAGTGGTGGTCGTGGTTACTTATGCCCCCACCGAAGACGAACATCCGTGGAGGGATGCAAGCAAAGCCGATGAGTCAGACGCTTTCTATGACCTCCTGTCACAGGTGCTGGCTAAAGTGGCCACTCGGGACAGAGTCATCTTGTTGGGTGACTTCAATGCCCGAGTTGGTCATGATGCTGACACCTGGTCTGGAGTGATTGGAAGGCATGGGCCAGATCAACTCAATAATAACGGTAGGAGGCTGCTAGATTTTTGTGCAGCCCATGGGCTTGTAATTACCAACACGCTCTTCCGGCATCGGCGCATCCACACAACATCATGGATACATGCCGGGTCCAAGCAAGAACATCTGCTGGACTACATAGTGACGGACCAGCGGATGCGAACCCATGTCCTTGACACCAGGACCTACCGTGGAGCTGATCTGTCCTCTGACCATCGACTAGTCATCTGTAAGATGCGCCTGCCTTTCTTCCACTCCGGTGGTGGGTGTACACCCAGGATCCCATTCCAACCAAAAGTGGCCTGGTCTCAGTTAGCTGATGAAAGTTGCAAGCGAGAATTTCATCATCGCTTGCAGCTGGGGTTGGCATCGTCCCCCACTCCACCTGATGTCGAGGGGAAATGGGCGAGGTTTAAGACTGTGACTCATGCAGCTGCAATGGCTGCTTTGGGTACGCGGTCCAGACCTCCCCAGAAACCCTGGCTGACAGAGGAGGTGTTCAGGTTAATTGAGAAAAAGCGACAGGCCCACTCTCATCGCCTACAGCATCCCACGTCAGAGAATGAGGAGGTTTACCGCAGCCTTCGCTCGGAAGTTCGGAGAGCCGTAAGGCGTTGTAAGGATGGGTGGTGGTCGCGGGTTGCTGAGGAGATGGAGTCTGCCTCAGTGGCCCGTGATCACAAATCACTATTTAACTCCATCAAAAAAGTAACCTGCAGCGCCACACCTATTACCATCATTAGAGGAAAAAACGGTGATCCAATCTCCGACCCCCAGGAACAGGTTTGCAGATTTGCTGAGCATTTCTGTGAGGTCCTGGGGGAGGGAAATTCTCTCAGCCAGGAAAACATCATGGCACAAAGTGGGGATAACCCTGCTGAGGCTGCGGTGCCTCAAATATTGGAAGAGGTCACCCCCTGTGAGTGGCTGGCTGAGGTTCCAGCTGTTGAGGAAGTACTGAGGGCGATCCGGAGTCTGAGACCAGGGAAGGCACCGGGCAGAGATGATCTCCCAAGCGAAATGCTGAGGGAGGGTGGCGTTTGTGCACAGACTGCCCTATATGACATCATAACAACAGTCTGGACCACTGGACGGGTTCCGCAGGACTGGAAGGATGCCCTGGTGGTCCCCCTCTTTAAGAAGGGGGACCGCACAGACTGTAACAACTACAGGGGCATCTCACTCCTCAGTGTGCCGGGTAAGGTCCTGGCAAGGATTATTCAACATCGCCTTGCTAGGCACGCTGAGGAGGGGCTTGCGGAGCCCCAATGCGGTTTCAGGAAAGGGCGGTCCTGCACAGATGCCATATTTTCTGTCCGTCTGCTACAGCAGAGGTGTAGGGAATTCCAAAAAGACCTACATCTCTGCTTTATTGACCTGGTCAAGGCCTATGATACCATCAGTAGGACTGGACTCTGGGTTGTTCTTCGTGCTTTCGGAGTCCCTGACCCTCTGCTCACGATCATTAAGGACCTTCATGATGGTGAGCGGGCCCGGGTAAAACTACGTGGCCGGGAGTCGGAGCCTTTCCCTGTACACCTTGGGGTGCGACAGGGATGTCCTCTGGCTCCCACATTATTTAACATCTATTTTGACCGCGTAGTTCGTGAAGCCTTCAATAGCTGTACCGGGGGAATTTCCGTTTGGTACAGATATAATGGGAGGCTGATCGACGCCCGGGTGCGATCAAGGGATGGCTCCCTATTGGTCAACCACGTTATGTATGCCGATGATTTGGTAATAGCTGCTCATTCAGAAGAGGAGTTGGAGGCGCTGCTGCTGAGACTGGAGCGTGCCACTAAGAGGTGGGGCCTTACCATCAGCCCCACCAAAACCAAGCACATGCCTGGTTATTTTGTACCATCGGACACTCCACCCCCACAACTCCCAATTGGTGATGGGGCAGTTGTGGAGAGAGTGGAGAGTTTCCCATACCTGGGCAGTGTGCTTATGACCGGCTCCAGTCTATCAGCAGAGGTCTCACTCCGAATCAGTCGAGCGGCAATATCTTTTCATCGGTTGCGTAACGCTGTGTGGAAGCTACCTGGTCTGTCGCTCCGCACGAAGCTTCAGGTCTTCTCGGCCACGGTCATTCCCTCCCTTCTCTACGCTTGCGAGACGTGGACCCCCCTGGTGGAGCATCTTCGCCGGTTGGAAACATTTAGGCTGGCCTGCCTACGATCCATCCTGGGTTTAACCAGGCTGGATTGTGTGAGGAGCTCACAAATCCTTGAAAGATCTGGGCAAAGTCCCATCAGTGAGCTCCTCCGGCAGGCAAGGCTGCGTTGGCTGGGTCATGTAGCCCGCATGCCCAGCCACCGCATGCCTAAACAGCTTTTGTTCGGCCGGATCGAGGGGGCTAGACGGGCGCGGCACGGGCTGGAGAAGAGATGGAGTGATGTGGTACAGGAGGACGTGGAGCTGAGTGGACTTGCCGATGACTGGTACCAGCGGTGTCAAGATCGGCCTCAGTGGAGGAGGCTCGTGAAGGACGCTACTGGGCAGTTGGAGGCAGTCGCCCTCCAACAACAACGGAGGGCGGAGGAGCGACGCTCACAACAACGAGCGGAGCGCCGGGTGGCTAAAGCACAGCAAGTTGGCACAGTAGGGGGCACAGGTGGTGCATCAGCCAGTCATCTCGGTCATCTCGGTCAGTCGACCAGTGGCACCTGGGTCTGCCCCGTGACCTCCTGCCAGCGGGCTTTCGACACTTCACGTGGCCTCAAGGTGCACTTGGCCTGGCACAAGCATCGTGGTGACGTCACCGCCACTTAGTGGCGAATGGCGGTTGTTGTTGTTGTATGTATGTGTGTGTATGTGTTTGTATGTGTTTGTGTGTTTACGCTCGCATTACACAAATGTGTTGCTGGTCTAAGGCGTTCCTCGCACAGCATTGCCGCTTTATTATTTCAGTCGTTTACTGCCTTACGCACCCTGAAAGTCGTGTGTGTCTGCAGCAAGCGCGTGTATGTGTACCTATGGACGCGCGCGCGTGTGTTGTGTAGGGGGAACGGTAGTGTAGTGCTTAGCGTGCTGTCTGTGTCTGTGTGTGTGTGTGTCTGTCTGTGTCTGTCTGTGTGTGTCTGCGTGTGTCTGTGTGTGTGTCTGTGTGTGTGCGTGTGTGGTGTGTGGGGAGCGGTAGTGTAGTGCTTAGCGTGCTGTCTGTGTGTCTGTGTGTGTGTGTGTCTGTCTGTGTCTGTCTGTGTGTGTCTGCGTGTGTCTGTGTGTGTGTCTGTGCGTGTGTGGTGTGTGAGGAGCGGTGGGTGTAGTGCTTAACGCTACGCTGCGCTACCAACCCGGCGAACCCAGTTCCATTCCCGCTCACGGCCACCACCGGTGACGATTATTTGAACCTCCCCTAGGTCGACTCTGCCTCAAACGAGTAACTTAACTACTGTAGCGTATTAACATCGCCACTGGGGAGACAAAGGCGGCCGGCCGTGGTAGATACAAGTCCCGGGCGAAGCCGGGTAGTACAGCTAGTATTAATATATAGCATTTCCCATTTTACAATGCATGTCCAAAATAACGTGAATGCAAATGGAGCCAAAACATGCTCAAAACAGTAAACTGCTTCAGATCAGTTACAAATATACATCAAACATATTTATGAGAAAAAGAAATCACATTTTATTGAATACTAGTGGGCCTCTATGTTATCTGTTTGCTTCATATCAAAACTAGGAATTGATTTGAGCAACAATGACTGCTTGAAATCATGTGCGCAACTTTTTGCTTCCAATCACCTACACATGGACATGAAAAAATGCAATAATACACCAGATTGATAAAAAAAACATTTTGCCGCAGACATTCTACAATATATTCAATGATGAGTTCTGCAGATGAACCAAAGACAATTTCCATTCCACATAAACTTCATGCCGATCACATTTTTAATTTGTCAAAAAAGCCATCAGTTGAGAAAATATCCATACCCTCAACTCTAAACTCGAGGACTTTCAAAATCTGCAGCCTGATATGTGTACCAATCACATGGTTGTCATTTATACAAAAAAAGTGGCTGTACTTTCTTTGACAGCTACGTATTTTAACTTTGTTCCACGAGTCGCTTTGTTAATACGTGTAGGCAACAGGTAATGATGCATTTCCACCAGTGAGAGGGTTTGTGGTCACGACACACGAGGAGCAGATACACAATGGGATGCCCAGCCCACCTGCACGGAATGCACTTGTGCCGGCCCACTGCCCGTCGGCGACTGAATCTGCACTGTGGCTACATTGGTGGCCTGTGTGGCGGTCAGGGAGGAGGGCGGCGTCATACATACAGCATGTCTCGCTGGTCACAACCCACGTACAACTAGCACAGAGCACAATAACACACCACAACCTTGTGGATCAATTATATGTCCTCATGCTAACAATTAAATTGGCTTACCAGTCCTTAAACTTAATTTGGAGCTTTCGTGACTGCAGGAATTATTCTTTGGTTCTTTCGGTAAAGTCACGTATAAAGATAACATAATAAATATTACCAGTCCTTGTTTAATATGCTTATAGAGTATTAAGTGCTGCAACAAAACTACAAAGCATCTTCTTGGTTCTTTCGGTAAAGTCACAAGACAGCGTCTTTCCGACAGACCTGTTCTTCACCTGAGGACGGCTGCTTGCGTTGTGGCCGAAACGTCGTGAGAATTATTTTATTATGTTTTATTTTTATTATTTCCCTTCTACGTGACTTTACCGAAAGAACCAAGAATACGAATCCCTGCAGTCACGAAAGCTTTAAATCGAAACTACAAAGCAGTTTTCTTTTAATATGCAAAATGTTTGAATTAGTAAAGAGGATCTAATAATTATTTTGTAAACTATAATAATAACTCTGTTTTTTTTTATTGTGCATTTGTGCAAATGCAGCGCCACCTTTTATTACGTCTGCAAAAATCTGGAAAAAAGATACAGCAAACTCGTATGATTTAGCATGGGGGATGCTATTTGGCAGATCCTATTCATGTTAATTCACACATCTTATTCACTTTATCCAAGCTGAAAAGTGTCGAGAAAATATGGATAACAGGATGAACACTTCCAGGTTATTTCCTCTTATCCAATGAAGGGTGCAGATAATAGGAGGTGCGCAGCGCCAAGACGATGCATGCATGGACCTTGATGGGCGCATAGGTAACAGTGTTGATAATAAGGCCTCAGATCAAGTAAGTTTTGTCGTTTTACAAATTGCCAGGGTAATGCCACATTCATGATATTATTTTTGCACAAATCGCACTGACAAGGGTTACAGATGTATTAAGCCTCTTTACTCATTGAAACACCCGCTTGAATACATTTTCACCGTGATTAGTGCCACAATGTAAATTATCTGGTGCAATAGATTACAACTGTTTTAAGAATGTATACGTAAGCAAATGGTGCATTGGGAGTTGTTTGCAAATAATTACACTTTGTTGACCAAAGTTGTGCTCACAAAAAATAATTGTAAAAACACCTGTATGCATTATATATTGCGTCAAAGTATAACGAAACCCAATAAGCTTGAATAAAAAAGCACATTGTGAGAAAACGTGGTGTGGTGTGGGACAGTACCTGTTGCTGTAATTGGCTTTGAACGATCATTTGCTCTCCCGCCTGACCATTGGCTTGGAATTGCTCCATGGTTTACTTCTTACACAGACACGATACAAGGGAAAACAAGAAACACAAATCACGACCAAATGTTGGCTACGAACCGTTTTATAAATGGCTTGCTGGACCTGGTGTGCAGTACTGACAAACACCATACATTGTGCAATTCATGTTTGTACTCATAGTTGAAATGGTTAAATCATTCAAATACCCATGTTTTGAAGGCAGTGATGCTGTTTATTTAAAACTAAAGTCAATGATAACACATCTGAACTGTGCAATACAAAAAACTATCGCCAAAGCTCAGTCAGTTCGGTATATAGTTCAATCGTTACCGTGGTACGTTCGAGTATTTCTCTCTGCACTACATATCAAACAGCAGCATGCTGTTATGGAATGATTTCAGAACTTTCTTAAGAATTATATTTAGACTAAATTGAGAGCCAATTAGAATACAGAATATATTTCCCCAAAAATATTCCATAAATCTCTATATAAACATGGAGATAGTATGGATTCTCAGATTTGCTGACGACATTCATGATAGACAATAAAAATGATAGAATAATTTAACAAAGACTGCATAGTTGTTTTACGGATAAAGTATCGGCAAAAATGTCTGCAAAACAGAATGTATTTCTTTCAACGGTTTAAAATAAATTTAAGTTATTTTTTTAAACCAAACTAAATGAAAAACAGCATATGAACGTATGTGTACGTTGAACTTCTGACGCACAGTACGTAGCCAATCATTCTTATTGGAGGTGTGTAAGGACAACTAAACACAAAAGGTTGTTCTAAAGAAATGAGATTTCAATCTAGATTTAAAAGTACATAGCTGCAGTGGCTTCCGATGTATGCACTTAGACGGTAGATGTATAATCAGTGACATGGCTTCAAAACATGGACATTGGAAAATCAAATATGCAAGCATAGTATAATAAGCAAAGATGCTGGGATTTACAATGAAACATAGAATATTTTTCGGGATTAAATCATTATTTCTGATACAAAAATCTAACTAACAATACACATAAGCGAACTTCAGCAGGACACACCGCTAGAAATGTTGATTGCTGCATGAGAACCAAAGGAAGCAACCTATCTGGGAACGACCGCCACGGAAAGTAAACCATCAACAGTACTATATACTGCATGTGCAATGGACTGTATATTGTAATCCAAGCAATTGGACCGTGTTGAATGGAGGCCTTCATCCAGCAGTGGCAAAAATCATGGTTAATGTGACTTTTTTAGATTTAATAATCACATGGTACTGTATATCCCTGAGATGACATTTAATGAAAATACAAATGCAACTTTTATTTCAAATGGGCTCACATTTGTACTGTGGCTTTTCAGAAAAACATACATCTTATTTCGATTTAAAGCTTTCGTGACTGCAGGGATTCATCTTCTTGGTTCTTTCGGTAAAGTCACGTAGAAGGGAAGTAATAACTTTACCGAAAGAACCAAGAAGATACATCTTATTACCATACTCGTCAACCCATTTTCAGTGCCTAACTTATTACAAACCAATTCAGACCTTATTGGTCACCCCGTGCCCTTATACATCTCAACGTTCATCCTACCAAGTCCCATCACAAGGGAAAAACACAAAGACAGTTTTTTTTCCCTGTATTGAAACGGCTGTACGAAGTATAGACCTGGAAACTAAATTTCCCTGGACAAGAATACGGGTAAACCGTATGGATTGACAGGTATGTATTACTCTTGCCTTCTATGTATGCATCACTTAACAAGTAAACCCGTAAAAACAAAGTTTTTCACTCTAAATCCTTTATATGCGTGGCGGCTAGAGTCCTCTCGTCCTCTGGCTTGAGATGGCTGCCACCTATGGGTCAGATGATTGTCTGCCAGTATTAAGCAATTGGTAATTAAATATTTAATTTGTTTTCCCTAAACAGTGTCAAATTTTGGAATTTTTTTTCACGAACATTGTCTCGCACGAGTCTGTGTGCAAAATGTCAGCTCGATTGGATCACGGGAAGTGGGTTAAAAAACGACTGAAAGATTTGCACGGTCCTAAGCAAGCAAGCACGCAAGCGAACTTAATATAAAGGATTTTAAAAAAGACTCAACATTGCCCATTCCAGTTGTCAACAATTGAGCCGCGTGCCCATATTTCACAGAGGGCCCAAACAGCATGTGGGGGGGGGAGGGGCCAGGCAAGCCGCGCGCTCCTATTGGCCCAGGCCGACACCACGTGACGGCGCAAACCCAATCGAAAGCGCCACTCACACTCACGCTACAAATAGCAAACAACAAAAACCACGGAGCAACACATTGAGATGTGTGTATCGCAGCGCTAAGAAATTGTACAAACTCCTCGCACGCCACTGAGCAAAAGCTACGATCAATCACCGCCTCGAGGCTACGATACAAGCGACGACCACCGTGGAACGAGCCAACAAGACAAGAGCCCGTCGCCATTTGCAATGATGGGTGGGGGGGTGAAAGGCACAAATATCGGGGCGATGTTTGAAGTTTCCGCGAGCACGAACTCGAAAGAGTCGGGCGAAGCGAAGTTCCCGTAGGTCATGGTTCGCGTGTTGGACGAGTCGCGGCCGAGGGGGACTTACGCCGGGCGGTGCCGCGCTGATTGGTCCGGGGCGGCGCGGCGAGGCGGCGAATCGGATCGCGGACAAAATGGCGACCGAGCGGCGTTGGCTGGCGCGAGCCGTGACGTCACCGCGCACTCGGCGTGACGTCACCGCGCACTCGGCGTGACGTCACCGCGCACTCGGCGTGACGTCACCGCGCACTCACGACGTTGCCGTGCACGCGAGGAAACTTGGTATGTGACGTCACCGCACACCCGTGACGTCACCCGCGCACTCGCGACGCGCGGACTTCCGAGGAAACTTGGTGCGTGACGTCACCGCGCGGTGGTGGATGTTTCGTACGCGCGTGCGTTGTGTGTATACATATGTGCAGTGACGTCATTTCGTTGTGTGCGCGTTTCGCCACCCCGGCCCCCCGCCCTACGCAGTGGCGTAGGTCTGAGATGTTCAGTTCGTGCGAGGTGACGTCGTGCGCGGCGTCATGACGTCAGAGAGGGGGGTGTGGACGATTGATAAGGTGTTGCAAACGTGATGACGTCATCACGTTTGGTCATGACGTACGCGATTGGTTTACATTGAACGGCACCAAAGCTATGACGTAATAGGTACCGTTGTTTAAAACCCACAAGGGTCCTAACAAAGAACACGTGACCCAATTTGGAATTAATACTCACTTACCTGCCTTGATGTTAATATTTATTTCAAATGTATTTATTACATTATCATTGGCTGCTGACATTTGGGCTACGCTCATTTCAAACCCCTGAACCTATCTACGTGATCTTCTTGGTTCTTTCGGTAAAGTCACGTAGAAAGGAAGTAATAAAATAATAAAAATAAAATAATTCTCACGACGTTTTTATTATGTTTGATTTTTATTATTTTATTACTTCCCTTCTACGTGACTTTGCCGAAAGAACCAAGAAGATGAATCCCTGCAGTCACGAAAGCTTTAAATCGAAATCTATCTACGTGACTTTACCGAAAGACCCAATAATATGTACAATGTTATTTTATGCTGAGTGTCAACTGCTGCTGTGTCCTGGACAGCGCTTTGAGATCATTGATGAAAAGCGCGACCTAATTGTAATTACATTTTTACTTAAATTCTGACTTAAAACTTTCGTGACTGCAGGAATTCATATTCTTTGGTTCTTTCGGTAAAGTCACGTAGATAGAAAAATAATAAAAAGTAAAGTGAATAATTGTTTAAAATGTTTTAATGTCATTATTATTATCGATGCTAATATTTTACAGTTACAGTATATTTAGAAGGGCCAATGCCCGAAACGTCGGTTATTTGCATTTTTCATTTTAAGGCCACAGTGTTATTGACGAATGTGTTGACGGTGTTTTATTTCCATTTTAACTTCTTTTTGGACGCTGACAACTGAAAACAAAACAAGGAAGAAAAATCACGCACACGCATGAATGCTGTAACACTACTTCACATCTGTGAAACTAGCTTCATAGCGCATAGGATTCCTTATGAATAAATAAAGATTCTGATTGTGTCCAACCCAAACTCTTGTACTCGAATGCTTGTTTTCATAAATCATGGACATGGGGAAAGTGTGTAAAGAATCCAATGAGAGAACGAGTGGATTAGAGAACACACCCAATTTCAAGTTTGTAATCAACAGTAATGTTCATTCCCTGACACTGCAATCAGTAACTGCATCTAAACCAGTAATTAAATTATTAAATATTTGCACAATAGTGATTTTATGTTAATTTTATGTCAATTAAAATGGGTTAGTCGTTTTTGTGACATCGGTACATGGTGATCCGTTTGTAAATGTCACTTTCACTGGTCCCCCACGGTCTTCATAGCAGAGGGCACGCTTTGATGAATGGTACAGGACCTATTCAAATGATCTGGCAGCTGTTAAACTTTCAGCTTGGTACCAAAACTGTGAGTTGTCCTGGGTCGCTTCTGGTATGACGATGTTACTGGTTTTTATTTCAAAATGTATGAAATCACCTGTTTTTTCTGTTGATACATTTTCCCAAAGACAAATTTGTTAGAGAAGCACACCACAGTGTATTAACTATTTCAAACGGTAAACATGACTGCAGCGATTTATATATCTATTTAGCTCGCATTTTTATGAAAGTGTTAATCCTGGTTGCTGATTATATCTTGCCTTCGTTTGCCCTCGTGGTTGATAACATAATAATGTGTGGCGTTGATATAGAAAGATTGGCACTTGTCATAGGAATGTAGATTTTTTTTTTTACAGCAGGACCTCCAATGGGAATGAACACCGGCTCATACTTGGTAATATACACAAAATTATAGATTTAATATCAATGCATAACACGAGTACCAGCATGTCTTGCAGGTCAAGATGACATCACTCCCCTTAAGAACATTGTGCCCAGCCTTGTGATGGCCACCAGCTCATTAACAGATACGTCTGTGGTATTTTAAATTTGGGCAGTCGAAAGACCATACCACTGTAAGCAAGTTTCAACCTTATTGACAGTTTTCATTACAGTATAGCCATACTTGTCCACTGCTTACATTTGTATTGACCAGCATTTTAAACCAGTGGCCATAAAAAGTACGTGTGGAGATATAGCCTTAAGAATGGTGGTGCAATCTTAAAATGCAAAGTGTGCTGCCATTACAATTTTGTTGTTGAAGAATCCTTTGTGCGTTTAGATAATAATTTGTTTCCATCTTCCACATATCTTGTTCTGGCTGTTGAAGTACCTCCTTTGCTATAGAAAACACTTTAATGTTGTTCATATTGCCTCATGTTGAAGAAAGAAGACTGTGTCACTTGGTTTGACCCACGGTCAAAGTGACCTCCAATTTTCAATGTCAACCCACCTCTACATAGTGGCGTTTAAGAAGGGTCAGGCACAATACAGCCGCAGCATAAACAATCTTGATTCCTGAGATTGTCGTGCACAGAAAGCATGACTTGCCATATGGTGATGACGCAAAATAAAACATTCTCCTCCGCAGCACCGCGCCACGAGTTACAGCTCTGGCATTCCAGGAGGACCTCGGATGCAGAAAATCATGCATTGCATCAACGTAGCCGTCCGACAAACTCGCCGCGTAACGACGACCGTGAATCACGATGTGCCCAGGCGGTGCAGGAGGTGGTCATTGCCGTGCCACGCGTCTCCCATGCAAAACAGGCACTTGTGGCTTGGGCATGTGGCTCCCGTTGAGTCTGAGTGAATTACATCTTTCCCACCGCATATTTATCTTGTGGGAATGCCATGGCTTTAATTTGTGCGTGGCATTATTTGCCTAACTGCGTGCTGTGAGTGGAGATCTTGAATGCCTGAAAGGTGCGAATATGTTGTGTAGTTTGTAATTCTATTGGCATCACTTGCTTGCACGTTTATTTAATTGGAACTGCACTGCTGTACTGTATTGTTATTAAGTGTGCAATGTCTTGTGTTGAACATGGCATGTTTAGTATTGATATTTTGACAATTGTCTTCAGTCGACTCAAGTGTAGCCATCTTAATGATTTCAAAAACATAACGAGAAACGTATGATCTACTTTGTCAGTAAATTGTCTCCTTTTGCAAACAATTTGGGGCTGCACTCATCTATACTGGTAGTTCAAAGCTAGTGGTGGAAAAGCAACAATTCTATGGTAGCAACCAGTCACGAAAGAGAGTTGAACAACCACAGATCGGTAAATTCCCTACCAAGTGCGGCTAAGTGACCAGGAAATATTCTTAGTTTTTTTCGGTAAAGTCACGTATGTGACTTTACCAGGAGATGGCAGTAGAGCAATGTGCTGAATAGCATGGTATTCTGGAAAGTGTCTCGTTTTAAGAATTGACCCTACCATGCCCAGTAGGTTTTTGTTTGGGTTCGTTGGCTTCCTTACACTAGGCAAACACTCATTAAAGTAAATGGCCACTGGCGGAGCCAGCGGGGGGGGGGGGGGGGGGGGGTCACGTGCCCCCCCAATGATCCGATCGAAATCCCTAATTTCGATCGGATCATTGATCGATGACTGCGCCATCGCCGCACACGCGTCGAATAAAAAGCAAGGGACAAGTCCTTACTAACAACTTCTATCATTTTTCATTGCTGGAGGGGTTTCCCCCCCTACCTGAAAATCTTGGCTCTGCCATTGGAAATGGCCAAACATGCCAATACATGACTATGCTGAAAAAGAGTATTGCAACTCAGTGGGACTTTTCTGGGTAAACAAATAATATGGTTAAACTGTAGATTGTATTATTCCTAAGTGATGAGAAACTGAATCGGTCCTAATGGGGATTTGAATCTTATCACAGCGTTATATTTCTTTATTACGTTCATATATATGAACAAAACAATGGAAAGGAAGATAAGCCATGATTTGTCATGAAAAGTAGCTGGTTTAAGCTTCGTGGTTTGCATCCATCCCATTGTGGCACAAGTACGGCTCTTGATGCTTATTCTGGCTTAACGTGGCCGAGAACGGTTTTTGTAGTGCTGTGTTTAGGATTCATAATGCACAAGGTGAGCAAGGGTGGGGGCTAGGGGTGCACGGTGTTGTGTGAAGTGATATGGAGATGGGAGGGTAGTGAATTCAGGACCAGATGAAGTTTGAAGGGAGCTCGAGGCTGTTATAGTTTTGGGGGCCCATCGCTGTATGTTGAATTCCTTCCCTACCACCACTAATGCCTAATTAAAGCCAAACAGCCGATTGTTTAATCTCGCTTATTTAAGTACTATTTCTTTTCAAATTGTATGTATGAATTGTAAAACACAATACACCTTATAAGGAATAACTTCAGCACTTAACTCGTAGTAATAGACATGGTGATGCGATGACCTTAATTATAAAATCATCTGAAGAATTTATGATCGTGAACAAGTGTTATGTCTCGACCATTTTAAAAGAGTATACAGAACAAGATGTGAGGGCACATCGCACAGAGCGTGCTGTGATTATTCTTTTAGGGGGGCAGCTGCAGCCCCTAAAGGCCCTGCGTTTATTCGGCCCGGATCACAGTACACAATCAATGTTGTAATGTCACAGTGAAGAGAGAGAGAGCTGTGACGTTACTGCACAAACTGCGATGTCACATTACACAGTACAATGCCGTGATGTCACAGGGCACAGACAATGTTATCATAGTTACACGGTAGTAATATAGTTAATTGGCGTGAGT